TGAACTGGTGTTTTCCTCTAGGAAAAGCCATATGGTTAAAAAATGGCCACAAGTTGTTATTGCTTTTCTCCCCAGCTTCTAATTTAGTGAAATCATTTACTCTTATATCCTTCCACTTCCTTCTTGCTTATCTTCTACACCCTGTTATTTGAGGGAAGAAATGTGTGATTTATCTCCACCCCCAATCCCCTTTAACAGCCTGTCTGCCGTTTGGCTTCAAGAAAAGTGGCTGTGAAGGTGAGAGGGAGTCACCAAAAAGATTCAAAGCAAGTCTCAGCAAGCTGCCTTTTAGCAACCAAGCTAACTTAAACTTGATTTAGCTAAAGTAAAACATGATTCTCAGTTTTGAAGAGGTGGTAAATTACAGTTCATCTCTGTCCATAGTTACAGCTAAGAACAAATAGCTCACATAATTTGCACTCCTCCTCCTCCTTCTCATTTGAGCAATGAAAAATCTGCTTAAAGAAAAAGGAAGTATTAGATATGGTACTTATCCACGAAATGCTCTTTTGGATGTCAGAAGTGGTCTCCTGTATAAACTAGTTATACATTTAATAAGACAGCTGTACAAGCTCCTTTGTGTGTGTGTACAGGAGGTTCGTTTTCAGATGTTCAGCAACTTCCGCTGCTAGATGGTGGTGACTTGTGGCTGTCACCACCCCTTAGGTAGGTAGACGCAGCCATCTACCTACTAAGACCAATTGCTGGAGGAGAGGTGCTGCTGGGGTCTGGATGTTTGTGCATCTCTTGTATCCAAATGCTTTGGGAAAGGAAGAGGAGGTTACTTGCTGAGAGAGCTGGTAGCATATTTTAGCTTATGGGTTTAGAATCTAAACTCAGACATGCTTCTCATCTTGCTGTTGTTAATGAACTTGCAACCCTGTCTTTGTGCAGGTGGGCTCCTCTGCCTTGAAAAGGCCTCTGTGTAGCTTTCTGGGCCTTCCTGACAGAGCGGCTCCTTTCTCCTCTGTGCCACCTCTACCCCTTTACATGCTGTTTGGGACTTTTTTCACATGATTTTGCGTTTATTTTTTCATGCATCTGTGTTCTCTACAAAACTGAGTTCTTCAAGGGAAACAGTTTGTGTTTGATTCATTTCTAGCACAGGGCTAGACACAGACTAGATTCTCAATAAATATTTGTTGAGTTGGGTTAAGTAATTGCCCAGCGTTTGATGGCAACAGTGCCCACACCTGTGTTTGAGACAAGTGCTTCTGCAGTCCCGTCCCCATGTGGTTTTTACAGGCATTGCATTCCCAGGCCATCTTGCATCTCTCTCATGAACTGTGCCCAATGGGGTTTGATTCAGTGGCCCTGCTGAGAACAGTGGATTCAGATCCCCATAGTAATAGACTTGGAAGTGATTTAGGGTGACTATGTTAAAGACAAATTTACACTAAAGTGAGAAAACATTTTTCAAAAATCATAAAGAAGACGGAGGTCACTGAGCCAGTATCTGGGATGGAGGGAGAGTGCAGCTCTCCGAGAGGCAGGCCTGCTCAGGAGGCCCCTTTCGTGGCAAGGGTCCTTACTCTCTGCCCTTTGCGAGGGAAGCGCGGGACCCAGGAAGGGAAGAAAGGGGATTTTCTGCAGATCAGGGCGATGAATAAAATCCTAGAGGTCAATTGCCGAGGTCACATCCATTCGTTAGCTCTAAACTTCATGGAGACCAGAAAAGGGAAGATAAGGGAAGATATGCTTTCATCATCTGATAAAAAGAAACACAGTGGTTTGGGGTTTTGTTTTGTTTTTTTGAGACAGAGTCTCTCTCTGTCACCCAGGCTGGAATTCAGTGGTGTGATTTCTGCTCGCTGCAACCTTGGCCTCCCAGGTTCAAACAGTTCTCCTGTCTCAGCCTCTTGAGTAGCTGGGACTACAGACGTGTGTCACCACGTCTTGCTAATTGTTGTACTTTTAGTAGAGACAGAGTTTCTCCATGCTGGCCAGGCTGGTCTCGAACTCCTGCCCTCAAGTGATCCAGCTGCTTTGGTTCCCAAAGTTCTGGGATTACAGATGTGAGCCACCGTGCCCAGCCAGTTATCACAGTAGTTTTCAGGGGGAAGAAAACCAAAACTCTTTTTTCCTGGGAATTCCAGGTTGGTCCTGTGTGTGGGTGTGCCCTGGAGAGGCTGTGTGGCCTCTGCCAATCGTTTGACTACTCTGGGCCTCAACTTCCTCAGCTGCAGATGAAAGGGTGGAGTTCAGGGACCTCTAATATCCCTTTTGAGTCCTGCATTCTCTGGTCAGACAGTATATCTAGAATGCCTCCAGATTGAAATCCTGACATTGGCCTCAAAGAGCAGGGGCCGGCCGTCCCAGAGCATTAGCAGCAAGCACTAGCTATTTTCTTTCCAGGCTTGCTGGTTTTGCGGCTTTGATGCATTCAGGACCCACAAATGCTCATCAGAGCGACTGTGCTGCCCAAGTAAGCACTAAAACCCCAGCCATCAGCACCGAGTCAAGACTGGCTGCCGCTGCGAGTCAGCTTCCCGCAGTAAGCAGCCCGCGGCAGCTGCCGGACTGTCACTCCAGCCGAGCCCACAGCCACAAACACCACCCCAGTTCCCAAGCAATCACAGGGCATCCGCTGTCAGCACCAGGAAGCTTCTTGATAAGGCTGTGGCTGGGTTGGAAGAGCGCTTGCAGAAATGCTGTGTGCTGCCTGAAAAAGCTCACCCTGCTCTGAGAAGGAGCAGGGACTCCTTCCTGCCCACCCACCCCAGAAAAGAGTTGCAAGATGGCAGAAGCAAGAGTGACTCCGGGCTACCAGCGCACTGGTCACTCAACAAATTGCTTTGCAGTGAATTTGTCTTGCAAATCGAGGGGAGGGGAACTGGTTTCTGCCTGCCCAGTGCTCTCTCGCCTTCTCCTGGATTCCCATTTGGCCCTCAAGCACTTTCTCCCTCTCTATTACCCAGAATGGCTCTGACCTAGCTTTCTCTGATAAACTCATTCACACCGGGTGAGAAGAATCCACACAGCTTTGGACCCTTCAGTGAATGGTGTGCAAAATCTGCAAGAGGAGGAAATCTAATGGCCAGTGGTCATTTTCAGGCGTTTGCATGAGGAAATATTTGGTGAACCACCCTCTCTCCCCTACACACACACCCTGGCAAGGCTGGCTGTGCTGATAGGCGGGGGTGTAGGGCTGCCCTGACCTACATAGGAGGTATTTAATGTTCCCTTTGCAGCCCCCTCTCATTTCTCTAACATCCAAGGCATCTGTTATATTTCCTTTGTCCAAGGCCCCCACATAAAAGAAGCATTGGACCCCTTCCATTCTCCTATCGTGACTTTGGGTGACTTTCCTCTGCTAGTTATGGCAAAGTAATTTGCCTAATCTGTGAATGGGCTAATGCACTCCCACTCCCATGTAGAATACTTGTGTTTGAACAAGAACCTCCTGAAAATGATGCCCTGACACAGTGGGAGAGCTGGAATTTGAGGAACGCAGGGTGGGGCTGCGGAAATATTTGGGGACATGTGAGTCAGGGACCCCACACATCATACCTGCAGAAACCAAGCCCTCTGTCTAGGTGGCGAGGATCTATTTCATGAGCTGGAGCCTGCAGTGGCTCTGAGGCCTCCCCTGGAAAGGAACAAGATAGAACAGAATTAATCAAAACAGGAGGCCAGGAGGAGGAGGAGGAACAGGAGAGGAGGGGAAAATTGCTAGTGGGGAAGGAGGACAGGAACAAAATAAAAAAGCAGGGGGTGGAGTTTGCTCACTGACTAAAATTATTTTCTATACGGAGCCAAGATCAACTCATCTGTTGGAATTGATATTTTGCTCCTTCATGTTGTCAGACTTATTTGTGGCTCCGAGTAGCACTCCTTGATGTCAGCTTTTGCCAGAAAGTTTCAAGACCTTTCAGGGCAAGGATCAGAAGAGCAGGAAGCATGAGAGTGATACATAAAACTTGAGCTTGGCTGCCTTCCATAAAGCACAGTGGCAGCTTCACCAGATGCAGCTGGAACTTTAATTGGTTAAATTTTAATTGGTTCTGCTCTTGTGGGCTAAGGGTTGGGCAGGGAAAATGTTTTTGTTTGTTTGTTTTTGCTTTGCCTAAAGCTTAACTGTCAGCCAGCCTTCTTTGGTCACCTTTGAAATTATGGGATGGCAAAGGGGCTATTTTATGTTTTATATTTATTTTTATTTTTGAGACAGGGTCTGGCCCTGTCACCCAGGCTGGAGGGCAGTAGCAGGATCTCAGCTCACTGTAGCCTCAAACTCCCGGGCTCAGGTGATTCTCCCACCTCAGCCCGCTGAGTAGCTGGAACTATAGGCACACACCACCACACCTGGCTACTTCTGTGGGTTTTGTTTTTTTTTTTTCTTTTGTAGAGATAGGGTTTTACCATGTTGCCCAGGCTGGTCTCAAAATCCTGGGCTCAAGCAACCAGGCTGCTTCAGCCTCCCAAAGTGCTGGGGCTATAGGCATGAGCTACTGTACTGGGCCAAAGGGGCTATTTTAATACTGATTTTTCTATTGAGGAAATCTTACAGCTGGGTGGTTGGTGGTATTCATTTCTCATATAAGCTTGCTTCAAAGTTTAACATCTTACCAAACATATGTCTATTTCTACAAGCGTTTAGGATGCACTGGTGTTACCACTTTGCTTTTCCTGGTCACTGCTGTGAAAATTAACCAGGGGTTGAAGCTACATCATTTTAATTAAGTGGGCTGCCTAAAGCCTGGCCTCAACCTGAATTTCAGGGTCACCATGGGTCTTGTGAGAGCTTCCTGCGTAATTCCCATTTGGGAGTGGCGGACCAGTTCTTGCCCTTCCTTTCCACCTCTGCTCTGCTGTGACCTGAGGCGTGAAGGGGAGGCTGGGTGGCCCTGCCCTGTGCCCTTTTCAACCCCTAGACACCCTCCACTCCTTCCCTCCAGTGCTGTGAACACCTCAGGGCTGGGAAGGGGCCTGGGCCCCCACTGGGACCTGCAGAATGCACCATTTGACTAACCATCCCGTTCCCGCCTCTCTGCTCTTTACAGAATGGGTTGAATGGCTTGCATCTGGCCTCTAAGGAAGGCCATGTGAAAATGGTGGTTGAACTTCTGCACAAAGAAATCATTCTAGAAACAACAACCAAGGTATGTCTCACAGGGAGTGGGGGAGCTTTGCATTGAAAATTCAAGTTTGTGAGTCCTTCCTTAGAAATCAGTCCTTCATGAGAGAACTCAGGCATGCATCTGAATTTCTCTTATCCTTCCAATCACTTTCTATTGATTCTCTGAATCCCTGAAGCTGCCTGAAACAGACCCCGTTTCCAGAAAGATTCAGTGGGCCTTTATCCTCATCACTAGGTTACATATCTAAAACTAGAGCCCTTTCCTGGTTGCTTTATGCTTTCTCAGGGTCCTTGACTCTAACTCAGTGTCCAAGGGCTCTGAAAGTGCCAGTCAGGTGCCTGAAGTTGAATCCCAGCAACGTACTTCACACTCTGCGACCTGGGACGAGTTACTTGGCCACTATGAAGCCTCAGCTTTGTCTGTAAAATGGAGATTATAATGCTTAGTTGCAGGGTTGGTATGAAAATTAAGTGAGATGGCATACATCAAATGCCTGGATGTATTTATTGGATGGATGTATTTACTGCTTATTGGATCTATTTATTGATTACTGATGTATTAATGATTATTGATTCCTATAGTAAGGAATCAATAAATACTGCTGACCATGTTGTTGCTGAGGGTTGTAGACAAGAATCCAGATCTCTTTCATTTTTCCTTCTCCAGCAAGTCTTCCTTGTTCAGCCCCAAACTGATTTCCTCTCCTCGCTAATGACCTGGAACAGCATTCTCTTTCACGAGGAGGTGTTTGGCATGGGGCGACGTCAGGCATCCACAGTAATGTATTTCACTAAATTTCAGTAGATTATAAACACCAGTGACTCAACTTCTGAAATCCCAGAGTCATGAAATTGATACGTCTACAGATTGCAAAATAAGTTTCATTTTTTACCTGTCACGCATCTTATTTATCAAACAGGATGCAACCAGCAATTAAAAATAAAACCAAACAGGCTGGGCACAGTGGCTCATGCCTGTAATCCCAACACTTTGGGAGGCCGAGACGGGAGGATCACTTGAGGTCAGGAGTTTGAGACCAGCCCAGCAACATGGCGAAACCCCATCTCTACTAAACATACAAAAATTAGCCAGGCATGGTGGCGCAGGCCTGTAATCCCAGCTATTCGGGAGGCTGAGGCAGGAGAATCGCTTGAATCCAGGAGGCGGAGGTTGCAGTGAGCTGAGATCACGCCATTGCACTCCAGCCTGGGTGACAGAGACAGACTCCCTCTCCAAAATAAATAAATAAAATAAAACAAACAAAAAATCATCTCCATTTGCTAACTCAAGTATTGTCTGCCCAGTTCTTGTTTTCTCTTCTCCTCCCTCCTCTGTTCCTTTCCCATGTTTTTCTTCTGGAGTTCTTTCCCCGCTAGCCTCTTATTTTCCATTTGGTATTTATTACACGTGGTCTCACACGCAGCCTCAATTTCAGTTCCATGCAGCAAACAGTTTGCTGCCTCTCAAGCAGAGAATGTAGAAGAACAATACGTAGAGAACAGATATAATTTATGGTTATGAAGTGAACTACCAAAATATTATGAAGGTAGAATCATCTCTCAGGTAAAATTCTGTAATTTTCATGTCATTTCCTGAATGTGAAAAGTTCTTATTGCACTTTTGGGTGAAATAAACTGAATTGCTCTTTCTGACTGGATATGGGGTATTTTTTCCCCAAATTCTATGTCAAATTCCGATTGTTCCCACCCTGCTTCTTGTGTGGATGAAGGATGAGATTATTTTCTCTGCACACTCCCACGTACCTGGCTGTGAGCTGCGTGCCATCTGACCTGCCCCGCGTGTGCCGGAGCGGCGCCTGCCCTGGCGTGCCTTCAAGGGCTGCGGAAACACGAGGCTTCAGTGCTTTGACTATTTCTGAATCTCCTCCCCAGGTTGTGATTTTGCAAGTGAACACTTGGTGTGTCTTTTTTATTTTTAGAAATTTTCTAAGCCAACGTGGCTTTGGAATACCATCCAGAGAGAGAGGGGAAAAAAAGGTGGAACTGAAACCGTGGGCTGGGGAAGAGTCACAACAGATTGGGGACTGTGATGGGGCTCCCAGGCAGCAGAAAGATGAAAAAAAAAAAAAAAAAGAAAAAGAGTAAAAAGCCAAAACCAATTTAGATTCCTAAAACGTACTTAGACATTCTAAAAGCATAAAACAAATGCATTCTCTCCCCATCCTCCTATCTCCAGCTCTTAAAGACTGGAGCTCAGCACCTAAGCTGTTAATGAACGGGGATAGCTTTCATCTCCACTGGAGAAAAGCCTGCTGTCTCACTCGGGGTCCCTCTCCCCCTTCCACTTGCATTCACCTGGCACCCACGCAACCATCGTCCCTGCTCTGAGCTCTGTGAGCCCCTGAAAATAGAGAAATTGGGTATTTGTGGAGCAAAATACAGCTAAGTGATTTTTCCTGCTCCTTTGAGGCAATGTTCTTTCATATTGAGGGAGGGGCAGAGGAAACAGAAGCTCACAAATCCCTTTTCCTGTGACTCCAACGACTTAGGCCAGGGGCCTTCTTGAGCCTCATAATGTGTGTGTATAGATAGGGGAAAGGAGGTCCACTTCCAGAATTTTCCCTGTGTTCTTATTCCTCACTTATGCTGCCCTTGGCCCAGTTGGCTTGAACCAAGATCCATAGCCAGGGTTCCACCACTGATGAGCTCCCCCAGACAGGGGGGCCTTCCCCTCCTCGTGGGGTAAGGAAAGCTCTCATATCACTGGACTTCGGGCAGGAAGGCTCAGATGGAAAGAAACATTTGACGGGAGCCTCTTGATGTCTCTGTGGCCTCTGTGCCTCCATGCTGGCCCAGGCCTGCTGTGCTTATGCCCAGGAAGCATGTGACCAGTGAATGAAAGGACCCAGGATGCCTCCTTCTTTTCCATGGGAGCCCAGAAGACGCTACTTGGAGCTCAGCGTCCTGGTGTCTAGAAAAGTTTCTGGTGCCAGCAGCCCTGCTGCATTTGGTACAGCAGGTGCCAAGCCTCTCAATGGAGGCTCTTTGGACTTCTATGAAAAATTATTAATGAACTTCCAGACTTTCATATCTGGCATTTATTCTCCAATGGATACTTGAGGAAGAACTTTGTTCTTCATCAAATAGAACTTGAGGAGAAATCAAAAAGACAACTTCAGGAGGCAACAAATGGGAAGTGCCTGCCTTTAAAAAAACAAACAAACAAACAAAAAAACCAGTTTTATGCCTTTTTTTTTTTTTTTAAAGACAGAGAGACTGGGTCTCACTGTTTCCCAGGCTGGTCTTGAACTCCTGGACTCAAGCAATCCTCCTACCTTGGCCTCCCAAAGCGCCAGGATTACGAATGTGAGCTGCTATACCCAGCCCCAGGCTTTATGCTTCAATTACCAGGCAGAGTACAAGAAATAGACCTGGGCTGCTTCCCAGCCCCCAGGGCGGCCTCATGGGCCTGCCTCCCTGACCCAGGAAAGCTGGGTCAGCAGCGGCTGGGGGGCCACACGGCTGGGCCCCGGGCTGCTCTCTTCCATCTCAGTGAGGAAGCTTTTCCTCCAGGTGACAGGTGCCACCGGGCAAGGTCAGAGTCCGAAGTCCCTGCCTGTCAGTTCTTAAGTTTCTTGAAATGGATTAGTTAACGATTATGTAGTTCAGTAAAAAGAACTACATACTGTCTAAACTCTAAAAACGAGGTTGTTTGAGATCTCTGCTCCTTAAGTAGTGCAGGGACAGATGGGTCCGACCATGGACCCATTTTCTGCACTCACCCTATTTGATGGAAGCATGGAGTGGAGCCTGCCCACCCCCGCCCCCGAACTCCCTGAATGGGGGTGCAGGTGCAGGGCACCCAGGGGAGTCCACCCCCAGAGGCAGTGCTGACATTCTGGTCCAGGACCCACGGGGGCTGGCAGGAGCCTGGCTGGAAGGCTGTGGGTATCCTGGCAACAGATGGAGGCTGCTAGTCCTGTCTGTGAATTGTTGTTAAATATCCAAGAAGAATCCAGACAAGAAAACCTGAGAACATTAAACTCATGTTCTCAGGCCCACGCCTGTAATCCCAGAGCTCTGAGAGGCTGAAACGGGAGACCAGCCTGGGCAACAGAGTGAGAGCCCGTCTCTGCAAAAATTTTAAAAATTAGCTGGGCACGGTGGCACACACCTTAGTCCCACCTATGCGGGAGGCTGAGGTGGGAGGATCGATTGAGCCCAGGAGTTGGAGGCTGCAGTGAGCTATGATGGTGCCACTGCGGTCCAGCCTGGGTGTTAGAGTGAGAGCTCCAATTCTAAAAACAAAACAAAACAAAAACATACTTTCTCAGAACCTGCCTTATTTCTCAGTCTCTGCTGTTGGTTCTCATCTTTTACGAAGTTTAAAACAATTACATGCCTTGTTTTCCTCCAGTGTTTATTCTCTCCAGTTTTTCTCTCCTCTCCGATTTGGTGAACCCTTACTCGTTACATTTTGCCTACTAGTATGTCGCATATTCTTTGTATTTTTCTTGGTCAGATTGTATTCCATTTATTAACCCCCATTTATTTTCTGATTTTTCTTCTCTTCCCTACATACATAGTAGAGTTGATCTTACCCTTTCCTTTACCGTCCAATACTTTCCTCACTCTCCTGCCTACCATCTCTTTGTCCCCTCCACTGCAGCTTGTGGTCTGTGGGTATCCCTGGGACGGTGTCAAAGGGGTGGGCCTGAGGGACCTGCCGGCCTCCTTTCCAGGCCTCTCCCAGGCCTCTCAGAGGGCTTGTTGCCTTGCAGGGTTGCAGGCTGAGCGGAGCTGCAGGTCCGCGGAGGGTCAGCTCGCTGACAAGACTTCCAGTGTGTGTCCTGAGGGACACTGACGGGCCGTCTGCTAGGGACAGGACACCGCACCCACACAGCAGATTAGGTGTTCAGAAGTTGTGTGTGTTGGCGGGGGCTCTTTTTTTTCTTTCAGTATTATTTTTCTTTTATAAACATTTTTAAATTTTTAATCATTATGGATACATCATCATCATCATCATCATCATCATAAAGGAGTTCTTTTGACATGGCTGCAGTCTCCTTCAACCACACCTCTCAGTGTCATCTATCCCCTTCCTGCGCCACTCCAATTACACCAGCCAATGCTGGTGGTCTTTTTAAATGTTTTTCTTTTTATAGATTGAGGGGGTACGAATGCAGCTTTCTTCCATGGATGCATTGTGTAGTGGTGAAGCCTGGGCTGTTAGTGTGGCCATCACCCAAATAGTGGGCATCGCACCCAAAGGATAATTTCTCATTGCCCCCACCTCCCACCCCCCGAGTCTTCAGTGTCTCTCCACCCTCTGTATGTCCACGTGTGCACATTATGTAGCTCATACTTACAAGTGAGAACATGCAGTATTTGACTTTCTGTTTCTGAGTTGCTTCATGTAAGATACTGGCCTCCAGTTCCATCCGAGTTGCTGCAGAAGACCTGATTTCCTTCTTTTTTATGGCTCTTGCAGCATTGTTTTTCATAGACAACAGGCAGGATTTTCCTCCCTGTACTTTCAGTGTGATTTCAGGATGTGTGAGGGGTCAAGCACACACGTGTGTCCTTTCTACCCCTTTTGGCCATGAAGAAAGCCCCCGGGTCCTTCAAGCAGCACCTGTCCACAGACCTTTGCTGGTCCCACAGCAGGCCCAGTGGGAAACCGCCTCTGTTCCCTTCCCCTGTGTGTTTCAGAAGGGGAACACGGCCCTGCACATCGCCGCCCTGGCCGGGCAGGACGAGGTGGTCCGGGAGCTTGTCAACTATGGCGCCAACGTCAATGCCCAGTCGCAGGTAATGGCTCTCTGCTCTGTACTAGAGGGTGCTGCCTTTCCACACGTGGTTCCTCTTTCCTGCTCCCTCGTGCGTCCACTGGCAGCTGTGTTAACACACACACTGTGGGGCAAGGCCTAGATTTCTCAGGAGCGTGTCTCCAAGCAGTGGTGAAGACATCCTTTATTATTTCTCATGCATAGACCGCACGTCCTAAGCATGACGGGGTTGAACTATTGTGAACCTAAGCCAAATAATATGTCCAGTTATGGCCCAGGTGGAGAGAGAAATGGAGGACTGGAGGAATGAGGCATGGGGTACAGCATTGATGACATCAATGAGGAGTATGTGAGCTGAAGAGATTGACCTACGGTGGCGAGGGGAGGCACAGCCTCTGTGGCCTTTTGTAATAATCCTAGGACGCCAGTCACCGTGACAATGAGTTTCCTTAGGAGGGGTCAGGTGGGAGGAAATGGAATGAAGAGAGTGCTGTCCTCCAGGTGAGAGGATGTTGTGCTGGTGTCGGCCTGTCTTACATTGCGGATGGATGCTAATGATGTCCTCTCTTGGTTTACAGAAAGGTTTTACACCCCTGTACATGGCAGCACAAGAGAACCACTTGGAAGTGGTTAAGTTTTTACTGGAAAATGGAGCTAACCAGAACGTAGCCACGGAAGTAAGTACCTTGGAAAAATGTCGTCACCACCAGAAGTCTCCCAGGTGTACAACCTTGCTTCAGGTGACACCTTCCTGGATGTGTGGCTTGGGGTGCATCCATGTAGTGATGGATGACCTTCAGGTTGCTGCACTAATCCTGAGCACTGTCGAGTTCTGCAAGGGAATAATGACAAAGTTGTGGGTCTTGAAGAAGGCCCAGACGTCACACTTGAGGGCGTCATTCCCGCTATGGCCAACACTTGTGACTGGAGGGGCAGGCAAAGCATGCGTGTGTATGGTTGGCAAGTTTGCATTGGGCCTTAATGAGAAAAGCTTTTGCCACAAAACCACCATGCACCCTTGGACAATTTTCATTCACTGTGGTCCTGAGTCTTGTCATTGGCGAAATAATGAAATTGAACTAGATAGAGCCAAGGAGTCTCTTGACTCTTAACTTTGGATGGCTCAATGACATGACTTTGTTGTCATTCTGTTTTATCAGTTCCTGGGGTCCTGCGCCCCTTAGTATGTCCACAACTGAGGGAATTAGTAATAGTAGCTCATGGCCAAGCACAGTGGCTCATGCCTGTAATCCCACTGCTTTGGGAGGCTGAGGTGGAAGGATCACTTGAGGCTAGGAATTCAAGACCAGCCTGGGCAACACAGCAAGACCCCATCTCTACAGAAAAAGAAAATTAGCTGGGTGTGGTAGTGTGTGCCTGATTCCTAGCTACTTGGGAGGCCGAAGTGGGAGGATCACTTGAGCCCAAGAGGTCAAGGTTGCAGTGAGCCATGATTGCACCACTGCACTCTAGCCAGAGTGACAGAGCGAGACCCTGTCTCAAAAATAAAATAATAATAATAGTAGTAGTAGTAGTAGTAGTAGCTCACAATTGAATTCTCAGGGCCTGGTGTGGACTCTGGCCTTTGGTCAGTGTTAATAATGTTCTGCTTTGTCAAGGCACTATCCTGGCACCAGCAGATGGGGTGAGAAAGGGAGCAGGCAAAGAATCCGAGCAGTCAAAATTTCTTAAAACAAATCAAACTGGAAACAAATTATAAAGGAAAACTAAAGGAATGCTAAAGAAAAATTTGGCAGGTTCTGTGAGATTGCAGAGAAAGGAAGTGGAGGCAGGAAGGGCTTCAGGGAGGAGGTGGCATTTAGGCTGAACTTGGTGGATGAAGAGGGCTTTGGTGGAGGGAGGTCCCTCAGGCTGGCGCCGCTGGGAGCATGAGCCCGAGGGGCAAGGGTGTGTCCTGTGTGAAGGGCAGCTAGGTTCAGACGAGTCAGAGCAAAGCGTTTTCCTCCTCTGGCCAGGACGGGTTCACGCCTCTGGCGGTGGCCCTGCAGCAGGGCCACGAAAACGTCGTCGCGCACCTCATCAACTACGGCACCAAGGGGAAGGTGCGCCTCCCGGCCCTGCACATCGCAGCCCGCAACGACGACACACGCACAGCGGCGGTGCTGCTGCAGAATGACCCCAACCCGGATGTGCTTTCCAAGGTGAGGGCGAGGCGGAGGGAGGAGACCTGGGCCGCGGATGCCCACGGGCTCAGGGCGCACCGAGTACACCCTGAGACTTCCCAAGCAGGAGCCCTGAGCGTGCGGGGCCGCACGCTCACCTCAGCGTGCTCACGGAGCGTCCCCACCCCAGGACGCAGAGGGGCCCCTGGACAGCCCTGCTCTAAATCTCTGGCAGCGGGGGTGGTTCCTGTTGCTCCAGGTCATCTGGAAATGTGTCCAGGCCGGCAGGGCGAGTCACCCTGGAACGCCAGGAGGCGGCCTTCCTGATGTTCCTTCGTCTCTCCTCCCCGGCTGCCCCGTAGTGGAGGGAGGAGGCGTGCAGGAGTCGGGGTGTGGAGAAAGGGGGTCCGGGGCTCTGCACAGTCACCTGGGCATGCTCTCCGGTGTTCGGAGGCACTGCTGATCTGCTGGCTGTAGGCTGAGGCTGCTGGTTCTCTTTTAGTGGAAATGGATTTGCTGGAGTTATTCACCGTCCCCTCCTGCACCCTGCCCCTCCCCTCTTCCACCGGCCCCAGATCCACCGGGTTTTGTCTGGAAAACACCTGGGTGGGGTTAGGCCTGGCTTGAGGCTCTGGAAGAGAATGATGACAATGGACAGAGGCTGAGGCAGGAGGATGGTTTGAGCCCAGGAGTTGGAGACCAGCCTGGACAACATAGTGAGACCCCACCTCTTAACATTTTTTTTTAATTAGCTGGGCATGATGGTGTTCGCCTGTAGTCCCAGCTACTGGGGAGGCTGAGGTGGGAAGATTGCTTGAGCCCAGGAGGTCAAGGCTGAAGTGAGCTGTGATCACATCACACTGCACTCCAGCCTGGGCGACACAGTGAGACCCTGTCTAAATGGAGAGGAAAAAAAAAGAAAAAAAAAAAAAAGACCATGGCCCCATCACACTTTCATTCATGAATGAAAATCTCTTTGTCGGTGATCACTCTGACGAACGGGCCCACAGAGTGTGAGGTTAGCATATAAGTCGGTTTGCTCAGGGTGGATACCCAGCTTTTGAATACACTGTGCCACAGAGCCTCTCTTGACCCCCTCACCAAATGTTCCCACCCATCAAAATCTCCTTTGTCTGTAAAGTCCTGTCGCCCCACCTGAGTTTCGGGCATCCCAGGGCTGATTCTGAGATAGAAGTAAATCACATATGACAAGTTTCTCCCCCTCTGTTGTGCCCTAGACGGGATTCACGCCCCTGCACATTGCAGCCCACTACGAGAACCTCAACGTGGCCCAGTTACTCCTCAACAGGGGAGCCAGCGTCAATTTCACGCCACAGGTAACCTGGGGCAGGTGCGCCCTCACTGTCTGGGGGCTTGGGGCTAGCAGGTGCTCCTGCCTTGGCACCATGGATTTCATCCCAGTGGCAGAAGTGCCTGTGGGTCAAACAGCCCTGCTGTCTGTTCAGCCTCCTTGCTGGCAGGTTTCTGACCATCCACCCCCCAGTTTCTACCTGCTTTGCTTGAGAAAACCCTAAAGTCCATTTGCCCATCCTAGAAGTGGGAAATCTGGAGGGCAGAAAGTGATTTCCAAATAACTGACTTTCCTGCAGTCTGTTATGTTGACTCTGGGAGGCGTGGGCTTGGCTGGTGTGGTGGGATGACCCATGCTGTTGGCAGGTCCCTACAGGTTTTAAAATGTCTTAGGCTAGAAATGCCCTGAGAGCACCATTGCAGGACTGGGGGCTGGGGGTTGGGGACATGGGGAGCGGGAGCACAGCAGCTGCATTCCAGGGAAGGATGACACGCCCTGACTGTCGTGCTTCCTCCCTTCAGAACGGCATCACGCCCCTGCACATCGCCTCCCGCAGGGGCAACGTGATCATGGTGCGGCTGCTGCTGGATCGGGGAGCCCAGATAGAAACCAAGACCAAGGTGGGTGCCAGCAGGCTCCGCAGCCAGGCACGGGGAGGGAGTTCCCCCCTCACGAACCTCACCCAGAGCAGCGGGCCCTTGGTGACCTAGTTAGGGATGCACCAGCAGCCTCCTGGAGCTGCCTGCAGCGGTATTCTGGGCAGTGCCGCATGCAGCGGGAGGCAGTAGTAAAACTGTGCTGAGGTCGAGCTGGTGCTTGAGGAAACGTCAGCACTCGCGTGGGCTGGGACGATGCCATAGGCGGTCTTCTCTCCAATGACCTCTGATAGCTGCCTTTTGGGCTTTCTGTTTTTGACTCTGTCTTTTAAAGGACGAATTGACACCTCTCCACTGTGCAGCTCGAAATGGGCACGTGCGAATCTCAGAGATCCTGCTGGACCACGGGGCACCAATCCAAGCCAAAACCAAGGTGTGTACTTCCTTCCTGTGAGGAGCATCTTTTAGGCAGGGCTCCAGGTCCAACAGACCTGGCATCAAATCCTATTTCGGTAAAACAGAAATGCTAATACTACTAAATGAATAGCACCTTTGACATTTATTACAAGGCCTGTCACATAGGAGGCACTCAGTGTAGCTCTAATTCATAACTAGATCAGGGTCGGCAAACTTTTTATCTAAAGGACCAGGTATTAGACAATTTTAGGCTTTGCAGGCCATGGTCCCTGTTGCAGTGATTCAACACTGCCAACGTAGCAGAAAAGCAGCCATAGGCAATATGCAAACTAGGGCCCGTGTTCTAATAAAACGTTATTGACCAACACTGGTGGCAGGGCAGATTTGACCCACAGGTTGTATAGTTTGCCTTCTACTGCTCTAGATCTATCCCCATGTCCCTCTTCCTAGCTCCAGAAAAGACAGGCACTAAGTACTCTAAGAAGTCTTCAGAGCCCGGGTCAGACTGAAGCGAAGTTAAAAAGAAAAGAACCCAGTTCTTCTCAGGCTCCATGACAGGCCAGAGAAAAGGCTTGTTACGTAATTCTAACATAAGGACTTAAGTCTTCCAGGGAAGAAAGCTGTCAGCCACACAGAGCTGCCTGAGCCTGCTCCAGGCCCTCTGCCCCGTGAATTGAGCTGTGTCAGAGCAGAGCAAGGCAGAAGCCAGGCCCACTCACGGCCACCCGGGATGTTTCCCACGAGCAGTTCTGTCATGAAATGATGGCTCAGTCCATACAGTGAGAGCTGATTTATTCCCGACACATTATCATGTTCTGTTCTGTAGAGCTGTCATTAATTTGGGTCATGATTCATAGTCCCCCACACTGGCTTTTGTTTGTGTCTGTGTGTGCTGTTGCATGAGGGTGTCCTCTACTAAAGCAGTTTCTCATTTAACCCCCTATCCTTGGCTGATTTGCTGTGTGACTCTGAACATGTGTCTTGCCCTCTCTGTGTTTCAGTTTCCTCATCTGGAGAGCCCCCACCCTCTCTCCTAGGATTGTTGGGACGACCATGTGAGATAATGTCTTCAAAAGTATATCTAACAGTAAAACTCCTCAGCTAAATGAAAGTAGAATTGCTACTATCAGTTAGATTATTAGGTCAGGAAATTCCCAACATTTTTCCAGGAGTGCTGTATTTAAACATAATACATGACCAGAAGTTAAGATATTTTGTTTTATTATCCAGATCATTAGAATGGGGCTGAAAGGAATGCTTATGAAAAGTATTTTCTGAGAATGTGAGAATATGTGACTTTTCCATTGGGAACTATGGTACAACCTTTCTGAAATGCAAGTGTAACTAACTGAGTTAGCTCAGTCCACCCTAACAAAGAACCACACGTTGAGTAGCTTAAACAACAGAAATTTACTGTCTCACACTTCCAGAGGCTGGAGGGTCAAGATCAAGGTGTCAGCAGGGTTGGTTCTTTTTTTTTTTTTTTTTGGTGACAGAGTCTCTCTCTGTCACCTAGGCTGGAGTGCAGTGACATGATCTTGGCTCACTGCAACTTCCACCTCCTGGGTTCAAGCAATTCTCGTGCCTCAGACTCCCGAGTAGCTAGGATTACAGACATGCACCACCATGCCTGGCAAATTTTTGTATTTTTAGTAGAGACAGGGTTTCGCCATGTTAGCCAGGCTGGTCTTGAACTCCTGACCTCAGGCGATCCGCCCGCCTCAGCCTCCCAAAGTGCTGGGATTACAGGCATGAGCCACTGTGCCCGGACTTTTTTTTTTTTTTTTTTTTTTTTTTTTTGTGATGAAGTCTCGCTTAGTCACCCAGGCTGGAATGCAGCAGTGTGATCTCCACTCACTGCAACTTCCACCTCACAGGTTCAATCAATTCTCATGCTTCAGCCTCCCAAGTAGCTGGGCTTGCAGGTATATGCCACCTCACCTGGCTAATTTTTGTATTTTTGGTAGAGATGGGGATTCACCATGTTGGCCAGGCTGGTCTCAAACTCCTGGCCTCAAGTGATATGCCCACCTCGGCCTCCCAAAGTGCTGGAATTACAGGGGTGAGCTACAGTGCCTGGCAGGGTCGGTTTCTTCTGAGGCTGTGAGGGAGCATCTTTTCCAGGTCTCTCCCCGAGCTTCTGGTGGTTTGAGCACAATCTTTGGTTTCCTTGGCTTATAGAAGCATCATGCTGACCTCTGCCTTCATCTTCATGTGGCATCTTCCTGCTGTGCAGGTGTCCAAATCTGCCTGTTTCTAAGGATGCCAGTCATAGATTAGAACTCACACTAATGACCTCATTTTAGCTCATTACATCCCCAAAGACCCTGTTTCCAAACAAGGTCACATTCTGAGGTCCTGGGGGTTAAGACTGCAGCATGTGAATTTTGTGGGACCTAATTCAGCCTGTAACACTAACATCTGCTGTCATGGAACCTGATTTGCGTCTTCCTTGATGAAAATCCTCTCGTTTCCACTTTTGAAAAGCTGAAGTCCCAAGTCCTGAGCTCCTAGCCTTTCTTGGCACAGCCCCGGGCTCCTCTCCAGCCCGCCTCCATGCTTGCCATCACTTTGCCCTGGCCTATTGAACTGCATGGAGGCCCCTCGGTTCCCCTTGGGTAGCTGCCTCTGTGATGTTGCACATGCTGCTCCCTTCACTAGGATGTTCTTCCCCTTTGGTCCTCCTGGTGAACTTCCATTCAGCTCCTTTCAAGTCCTAGTTCAGGCCTCACCTCCTCCCTCCCAGTGCCCCTCCTTCATCAGGGACGCCATCTGTTTGATTCTTACCTCTGTGCTTTGATCATTATTCATCCCACTTCAGGGCACTGAAAGACACCATCATGTTTGTCTACAGGCTTCCTTGGGCCAGGGGTTATGTCTGTTCTCTTTCCACAGATCTTAACCCATACCAGGAGGATATTAATCACTTGATAAGTATGTGTTGAATTAATGTTTGAATGAATGAGTGAGTCTCCTCTCTCTTTAATGTTTTTTCAACAAATTGCTGTTTGAGAAATGAGTATCCTTAATGAATTTTCTTTAACTGAACTGCATTTGACAGGGACAAGGAACAGAGGGATTTAGATCCAAGTTCTATTTTATCATCATTCATTCATTCATTTATTCAAAATTGCATAATTTAAGGACCACAATGTGTATTACATGCATTTACTGGGCACTGTGGGGCATTTAAGAAGAAATATTAGGCTCAGTCACTGATCTTAAGAGGCATATAAGAGAAAAGATGAAAAGATACACTCCCCTAAACAGTTAACTATGAATGTAATTGGGCAAATATGAGAATAAGGTCCAAGTGCATGGCGCAGATAAGGAAAGCCCACTGGAGTCTAGGGTGGTCAGGGAAGGCTTTCTGGAAGAGGTGGGCCTGCTGGAGATGGCTTTGAAAGTTTGGCCAGGTGGAAAGGAGAATGTCTGTGGTCAGAGACTGGCAGAAGTGTGGAGGCCAGCGTGAGCCAAGCTCCCTCCGGAGCCTTGTGGAAGCATTGTGTAGGGAAGAAGTAGGGAGTGACATTGGAGTCGTCCTGAATCTCCATGCTCGGTCCCCAGAAGACTTTGTGATTGCTTGTGTTTTCCTCTTTACCCAGAACGGCCTGTCCCCAATTCACATGGCGGCTCAGGGAGACCACCTCGACTGTGTCCGGCTCCTGTTGCAATATGACGCAGAGATAGACGACATCACCCTGGACCACCTGACCCCGCTCCACGTGGCTGCCCACTGCGGACACCACAGGGTGGCCAAGGTCCTTCTGGATAAAGGGGCCAAACCCAACTCCAGAGCCCTGGTGAGTGGGGGGCTGCTGGAGAAGGTGCAGAGGGTCAGGGCAGGCTCAGGGCAGGACCAGAGAGGCATGGCTGGACCTGTGGGAAGGGCGGCAGGTGCCCAGAGCTCCCCAGATTTGAGGCCTGAGAAGTGGGGTGTGACAGCACAGGATGGTGGGGGCCTGGTGTGCACCCCTCTTGCACCCTCCACTGCACACCCAGCTAGGTATCAACCCCTGCCCCTGGTGACCAGGTCGAGGTCAGGGGTGAGTTTGGGCCCAGGAAACTGGACTCAGGAAGCATCCTGCATGGTAGGTATACAGGCTTGGGGCGCCTGTCCAGTGGAGTCAGGCCTGGAGCTGAGTGATTCCTTAGGGGCTGTGTGGCTTTCTGAGCTGCTTTGGGGATGAGTGAGGTGGCCGAAGCTGAGCATCCTTCGTCCACAGAGGGGCTTGCAGTTCTCATGGCACTCGTGTAAAAGGAAGCTCAGGCCCAGAGCAAATCCCTCCTGTAGTTCCTCTGCCTCCTTCCCAGGACAGGGGCTCCCAGGGAGGTCTGGGGATCCAGTAGGACTGTAGCTTTGCACTAAGCATGCCCGTAACCACATCTCCTCTCTGCCCCTTTCCAGGGCAGCAGAACTGAGGGGCAGGATATCCTCCAGGGATGGCAGAGGATGGCTCATTCATTCACTCACTCACTCACTCACTCACTCACTCACTCACTCACTCAAGCTTTCACTGAGCAATGCCCGCAGGCCACATGCTATTGTAGGGGAGTTGGAATTTCCCAGCCTCAGGACTATTGACATTTGGGGTCGATATTTGTGGTCTTGTGTGTCGTAGGATGTTTAGCAGCATCCCGGGCCTCTACCCACTAGGCACTCATAGCTCTCCTTCCCTAGTTGACAATAAAAAATGTCCCCAGACATTGCCACATGTTTTGGCGGTGAGGTGCAAATGATACCCCCCCACCACCTCCCACGTTTGAGAACCACTGCCTTAAGTGGGTAAAGCACTGAAAAAAACAGACAAAAACAAACATACTTTTCTGCCCTTCAGAGTTTATATTCAGAGTACATCACACTTTAGAGCAGAAATCCATTTCACTAAAAATGATAAGTGGTTTCAGGGAAGAGGGAACATGATTTGCTTCACAAAAGTACTCTTTTATTGTAAATTTACCCTTAGGGGACTTTAAACAGCAGGATCTTTTAGTGCATCCAAAATGTGAATAAATTTTTTAAAAAGGTTTATAAACAACATGTTCTGGAACATATCTAGTGCATCAAGTGAGAGCCACCTGTCTCTTACGTGATTTGCATTAATTGGCATTGTAAGACTAATCAATTGGCATTAATTCATTGATTGGTCTGTGGGCATCTGCTGGTGGCCTGGGCAGCAGCTGCCTTTTAGAGCAGCGAGGTGGTCTTCTGGGCGTTCCTTGGGCCCGTGTGTAAGCTCCTGCTTGTCTGTCTTCCTTTGTGTGGGCTGCAGAATGGCTTTACCCCCTTACACATCGCCTGCAAAAAGAACCACGTTCGTGTCATGGAGCTGCTGTTGAAGACGGGAGCCTCTATTGACGCGGTCACCGAGGTAGGAGAGACTGCAGAGGAGCCTGGGGGCAGGCCCGTGGTCTCCCCCGACCCGCCTTCTCTAAGAGTCGCTCTTTCTAGCTTTGTGTGGCTGCAGGGGTGTGTGTGTCTGCAAGTCTGGACTGCTGGAAGGAATGAATTAGAGGTGACTAAGACAAGGGAACATGAGTTAAGTCTCATGGAGCTTTCCAAGATCAGACACAATTTTTGCAAGTTGTAAGAGTGGGCACGACTTGCCCACGGTAATTTTTTTCTCCAACCATTTTCTTGGAAGCAAACCCACCTCATATAACTCCATTTTCTTGGAAAACCATTTGTGAAAGTGTTAGATGCCGTCAGGTTCTCTCTTCTTCAGGGGAGCGGAAAGACTCCCCACTTATCTCACTCTGCCCTTGTCTGTTTCAGTCTGGCCTGACACCTCTCCACGTGGCCTCCTTCATGGGGCACCTTCCCATCGTGAAGAACCTCCTGCAGCGGGGGGCATCGCCCAACGTCTCCAACGTGGTAAGCCCTCAGGCAGGCAAGGAACTTGCTCCTCTAGACCAAGAGTTCAGAGGGCAGCTTTCACCAGTGCTCCCAGGCCTCTTCTCTGGGGACAGAGCTACAATTCCCAGAATAGCCAATGCTTCAGACTGGGGGAGGACATCCCTGTGTACTGACGCTTTCTGGATTAAATTTCTCACACATCCGTAAACCTTGGAGGTTTTGTTTTGGACAATAATTTTGGAATGTCTATAAGTGTTCACTGGGAATACATTTACATTTTTGAATATTCATTAGCTCTGGGGTTTACTTTTAAGTGTACCTAGAATATACAGATGCACACATGCACGCACATACATGCCTGCACCTGCACACGTGCACACACACATACATACATACATGCACATGCACACATGCACACACACCAGACTAAAGAGTGACTGCTGGGGCAACTCCACCTCTTGGACAAAAACCCACCAAGCCACTCGAAGCTGCACTTCCTAGCTCTGTGTGTGCAGTTTTGGACAGCAGGCATGTATGAACAGTTCTACAATTTTGTTATTTTATAGAAAGTGGAGACCCCGCTACATATGGCAGCCAGAGCTGGGCACACGGAAGTGGCCAAATATTTACTCCAGAACAAAGCCAAAGTCAACGCCAAGGCCAAGGTGAGTTGTGAAGGCAGGAAGGGAAGGGTTTCAGATGTGAGCAGTTCCAGCACTGTGCAGAGAACCCATCCTCATTCCAGGCAGGGCTGCAGTACTGTGGCCTGGGGATCGCTTTTCATCCCGATCAGGCCGCTCCACGTGCTCCGATTCTGCTTTGCAGGGGGTTTGAGAAGACCAGGGATATTTTTGCATTAAAGTCACATTTCTTTAAAATAAGGAAAGTCCAAGGTGCATGGTTGGGCTGAGTATGTCCTGGGCTAACGACGACAGTTGCCGTGTAAGGAGGCGGGCAACCTTTTGAAGAAAGCATTGCCAGTGAAAATCAGGCAAGAATTACTTGATCTAAAACTGGAGGATTCCCCCTTGCTGTAAGCACATTTTGCGGGGGTTGGAGGAGTAGGCAGTGAGAAGAGCTGTGGAGTTTGCCAGTTGCTCGCTCGGCCAACAGCAGGCTTCCTAACCACAGGCCACGATGGGTTCTCCTTAGAGTCAGGCCTGTGATTTGTGTTTGGGGCCCTTGAAGGATGCCTCCAGCTGGGCCCCATGAGACCTGGCCCAGGCAGCTCGACAGCAGCATTCAGAAACAGGAAGCTGGGGGTGTGGATGGAAAAGTTCTCATTCTCTGTCAGCAGTTGAGACTCCCCTGACCCCAGCACAGAGAAAACCAAAGTAGAGTTCAAGCAGAAAGACAAGCGCATCCTTTCAGAAAGGATGTGGGAGACAGATGAGCAACCACACTGCATTGAGTGCCTTTTATGCACAAACGCAGAAACGTGTACGTTATCTGCTTGATCCCAGATGAGCCCTAGCAAGTAGACGTTATTATTCCCATTTTACAGATGGGAGGGCTGGGTCTTTGGGAAATTAGGTAGAAATAACAGCTCACTTGAAGAGGTGTTGTAAGGATTCAATAGGATACAGCATATTGGTTCCTGTAACTCAGAGACTTGATTCAAACCCTGACTCTTCATCTTCTTAGCTGTGTGACCTTGAGAAGGTCACTTGCCCTCTCTGGGCCCTGCCTTGCTTCTCTGTAAGATGAAAAGTTGGATTTGGTAACATCAGCATTTCTTCTTCTTTGCTTTCGCTTCGGGGTCCAGGATGACCAGACCCCACTTCACTGTGCAGCTCGCATCGGCCACACAAACATGGTGAAGCTCCTGCTGGAAAACAATGCCAACCCCAACCTGGCCACCACTGCTGGGCACACGCCCCTGCACATCGCAGCCCGTGAGGGCCACGTGGAAACAGTCCTGGCCCTTCTGGAAAAGGAAGCATCCCAGGCCTGCATGACCAAGGTACAACCTCCCCTCCTCTTGGTCTAAGGAAGCAACAGGCTCACTCAGCCAGGCCTGGGGCTTGGAAGGGAATTCGTGCCTGGTTCTCTTTGTCACCTCAGTGATGTTGCAAGCAACTGGAAGGGTCATCACACTCGGGGCTGCCCGCCACCTGCAAGCCCGATGTGTCTCCATCCTTCCCCAAAACGGGAGGTCAACCACAGCTTCTCACACACCCAGCCAGCCTTCGTCCATTTACCATGGCACAACTATTAGTCGAAACCTGCTTTGGGCAAGTCACAGACAGGTTCTGGGGATATGAGAAGGATTAAGACTCATACCCTGCCCTCAGCTAGCCAGCAATCAACTACCACTGCGAGGTGGTCGAGACCCTCTCACCAGAGGAGTGTGTACAGCAAGTGCAGGGATGCCTGCCCACTCCTGAGGTCTTCAGCCTCCTGGAGGGCTCAAAAATGGCTATGTCTTTGCTTTTATTGGCATCTCCATGCCAGCGGAAGGGGGCAGCCTCCTTTGCCGTGGGCCCTTTCTCCAGAGAGGACAGCCCTGGGGCCCCGATGTCCTGACAGCCTGTGTTTCTCCTCAGAAAGGATTTACCCCTCTGCACGTGGCAGCCAAGTACGGGAAGGTGCGGGTAGCAGAGCTGCTGCTGGAGCGGGACGCACACCCGAATGCGGCTGGAAAAGTGAGTTTGAACCCCGCCCTCCCCTGCAGCTCTCAGGTTAGAGGCAAGAACAGAGGATGGAATTCAGCTCTTGCAGATTCCATCTCTTGCCTATGTTGTCCATCCTTTTTTTTTGAGATGGGGTCTCTCTCTGTTGCCCAGGTTGGAGTGCAGTGGTGCCATTATGGCTCACTACAATTTCGACTCCTGGGCTTAAGCCATCCTTGGGTGTCAGCCTCCTGAGTAGCTGGGACTACAAGCAGGTGCCACCATGCCCAGCTCTAACTTAAAAAAAAAAAAATTATAGAGACAGGGTCTCACTATGTTGCCCAGGCTAGTCTCAAACCCTGGGCTTGGGTGATCTTACCTCTTCAGCCTCCCATAGCTCTGGGATTACAGGTGCGAGCCACTGCACCCAGCCTGTTCATGTTTCCATGGGTAGCATCGAGAGAGAACGCCCTTTGGAAAGACTGGCCTTTCTGTCAATGGCCTTATCCGTTTGGAAAGACTCGACGGCCTTCTCTGGGCGAATGTGCTGACCTCGCTGCCCACGTCCCCTCTGGTTCCCACAGGGCTCTGGGTCCTGTCCTGACATTCTGTCGTGACTCCAAGTTAAGACTGGCCTGGGAAGGATTTTAAACAGGATTTTACTGTGTAAAATAGGTGTGCCATGCCTAAAGGGAGCCCTGGGAGAAAGTCCGTGGGAGTGACATCTGGTCTCTTTTGTCTTTGTCCTCTGCAGAATGGCCTGACCCCCCTGCACGTGGCCGTCCATCACAACAACCTGGACATCGTCAAGCTGCTGCTTCCCCGGGGTGGCTCCCCGCACAGCCCCGCCTGGGTAAGACTGGCGCCTCTCCCCAGCTGCCCCCGGAGAGCAGGTCACCTGCTACCTTCTAGTCCCTCAGGGAGGGTGTTTCCACAGCAGCCCAGGGGTTTTGCGTTCTGTAGCTATTTTTACCTCAGAAATCATGCCTCACTTTCACACATGTTACCTGTCCTGTAATTGTGCTATTCAGGGCCCAGGAGTGGGATGGGAAGTGGGTAACAATTCCCAGCCAGGGCTTACCTCGCAGAGGCAGAACTTGTTTTATACAGCAAATGTGTCCCCAAGCAGTTGCATGTCAGCTGGGTTTTGTAAACTGACTGTCAGAGATCAGTGTGGATAAAAATCCCTGGGGAGTGGTGAGCCTGGTTCTAGCAGATTCTGACTCTGTGGGACTGTGCAGTGTGGCCTGGAAGCCTCATTTTTAACCTACTCTCTGCGTGGTTCCGGGGCTGGGGCCACAGCGACCGTACTTTGAGAAATCCTCAGGGCTGCTGGTGAGCTTGCTGGAACCTGGAAGCAAGGGACCTCTTTAAAATGAGAATGATCACCTCCAAATTCATTTCTCTCTGAGATCAGACTTTTCAATGGTGGCATTTTTGTAGAGAGGCTTACCTGAATATGAGACATGTTGGCCCGGCCTCACACCAGCTTTAGAGGTGAGCTGCTCAGAGCAGCAGGTTCCGTGACCCTTGAGGGAATCAGAGGAGGGAGCAGATGGGTAGCTTCTGGAAGACCTCACGGGATTGGGTAGTACAAGGATGAAGCTGGAAGGATCATTTTTGGGAACAGGCTGCCTGCTGTGGGAAGGCAAGGCTGTGTAGGGATAGGTGCCATGGGACTGGTGGCCAGCGGGGAGAAGGGGAGAGGAGAGGGAGTGGGACCAGGAAGACAAAAGCCATACACAGTCCCCGCACTCTGTGGGGCAGCCAGGCGCACGGGAAACAGGATAATCTATGGGAGAGCAAACCCCGGCGATCCGTCATGTGGCAGGTGTCCAAGTGCCACAGAGAAGGAGCCTAAGGGTGGGACCCCGCATGACTCCAGCCAACACCTGCTGGCTTAGGGTCGCCGCAGCCCAGGCGGGGAGCCTCAGTGTCGGTGCGGCGCGTTCTCCCTCCCTGGACAGACGCGTGTCCCCATCTTGCAGCATCGCTCTTCTGCAGACGCCGGCTCCCGACAGCTCTGTCTCCTCCTGTCCTCGCTACTGCTGCAGCGAGCCCCACGTCGCTGTGCAGAGGGAGCACATGGCCCTGCTGCGATGTCGACTTACTCCTGCCTCTAAAAATAAAAACCTGGACTCCCCTCCTCCTCCTCACTCCCCTACTTATATAAAAGGAAAGGGAGCCAGGTTCATTATATTTAAAGAGAACTAAATCCAAGCACAAACCCTGTACAGATGGGCTTTGTTTCCATGGCAAAAAATAGTTTCCAAAGTAGTCTGGCAATTTTGTAGAATTTCACATGCAAATCTCTCTGCACCCAAACCAAACCCTCCCCTTTCTAATTTTGATGCTAATGTTGTTTGAACATTTGGGCAGAGCTCCCTCCGTGTGCATTCCTTAGGATGAGCTCATTTCCTTGGGAAAGAAGAGCCTTTTGCCGGCTCACATTCCTCCCTCCCCTCTCCATGACTTTCCAGCCTAGTTGTCCTTGTCCTTGTCACCTACAGAAGTTCATTCATTCCTTTCAGTCCTGGTTTAGGGGAAGCTCTGTTCTGTGAACACTCCGTGTTCTGAGAGTGACAGTGGCACTTGTATCTCAATTTTAACCAGAGGTTTACCTGGCAGCCTGAGCCATGTCCAGGGCAGGCCTACTCTTGGGTAGGACAGGGGGCTGGCCTTGCCAGTGTGGACATCACTGCTTCCCAGGTAGCTTGGGATTCCTGAGGATACATCCATGAACACACTGCAGATTGCTCAAGTGATGGTCCTTTGTACATTAAAAGATGGCCTAATAGGGCCTGGAACAGTGGCCCAAGCCTGTAATCCCAGCACTTTGGGAGGCCGAGGCAGGCGGATCGCTTGAGGTCAGGAGTTCAAGACCATCCTGGCCAACATGGTGAAACCCCGCCTCTACTAAAAATACAAAAAGTAGCTGGGCATGGCGGCATGCACCTCTAATCCCAGCTACTTGGGAGGCTGAGACAGGGGAATCGTTTGAACCCGGGAGGCAGAGATTGCAATGAGCCAAGATCTCACCACTGCACTCCAGACTGGGCAACAGAGTGACACTCTGTCTCAAAAAAAAAAAAAAAAAAGCCTAATAATCCTTGCTTTCATGTAGTTATTAATGGAAAAACCAGACTCCATAAAGTATTTCTGAGGTCTCTTCTGAGCGGATGTGATAACCATGGCTCTGGGCAACACAGTATCAAGAGGTCCTGAGAAAGTGTGTCTGGGGCTGGTTACAGTTTGGTTTTATACATTTAGGGAGGCAGGAGTTATAGGTAAAGACATAAATCAATACATGGAAGGTATATATTGACAAAAATACCTAGAAACAGGGGCCCAGAGGTTATAGGCAGATTCAGAGATTCTTTAATTTGCAGTTGGTTAAAGGAGTAAAGCTTTATCTAAAAGTTTGGAATCAGCAGAAAAGAATTAAGTTGAGAGAAGGGTCTGTTCACCAGTGTCCTGGGCCGAGTGACCTCCAGGGGGTGTGTGACTCAGCCCTTGCCTATTGTGGCCTTGGGTCCTGTTGCTAATTTGGTGTCTTGTCACAAAGAGTCCCTTTGGTTAGTCTTATGATCTCTTTTAACATGAATGTTGGTCAGTTGCGCCTAAACTCCGAAAGGGAGTGGGTATAGCAAGGCGTGTCCAACCTCCCTTACTTCATGGCTGGGAATTCAGTTTTTAAGGTTTTTCTGGGATCTCTTCGGCCCAGTTGAGGTCTGTTTGAGGGCTTAGGGTTTTATTTTTCGTTTCCATAGTGAAAGGCTTCTCTAGGCCGGCGCTGACTGGTGCTCTGTGTCTGGTTATGGGGAGGCTTAGCTCCATTTTGAGCCGACCCTGCATCTCAGGCTGGATCTGTGGCATCACACCCCATTCCTTTGTTCTCTTTTAATACAGTGCAAAAATCATGCTGTTTAATTAAACTTATTATAATCCAAATGCCGATCTTGTTACATGAACACAACCTACAAAGAACAATTTAATGTTTTCTCATAACATAATCAAATTAAAAAGGAAGAATACTAGAAAGGATTATCACACGTTATTCTTCAAAAAGAATGATTTTTCAATTTAATTCAATTCCTTGGGTAAGTCACAACTTTTCATTTCACCACAAAAGCCGCCTATGGGCCCACTTTGCTGAACTTTCTCTGTACGCAGGGCTTTGACTGCCTTGGCCGGCACCTTTCTTTCCCTTTCCTCTTCCTGACCAGTGATCCTGGCAGAATCAGAAATGTTAGTTTCCACAGTAAGAGAGTGGCTGGCAGGGAGAACTCAGTCCTCAGCCAGAGGAATGCTGGCCGAGGTGGGGAAATCTCGTGCCCTGAGACAGATCCCACATTGGGCAGCCATCTGCTATGGGCCTGGGTGGGCACATGTCCAGGACGTCCTCCAGTCTGGCATTGCCCTTAACCCTGAGTGCCCTAGGGCCTTGCTACTGAAAGTGTGGTCCCTGGACCAGCATTGTCAGCATCACCTGGGAGCTTGCTAGAAATGCACAATCTTGGGCCCCCCCTAGTGCCTCTGAATCAGACACTGCATTTTAACAAGGTCCCAAGGGATTGTGTACACATCAGAGTTTGAGAACCACTGTTCTAGCTGGAATTACCTGGGCTGTACAATCAGAAGGTCAGGGCTGGGTTATCTGTTGTTCTGCTTACTATGTGACATTAGATAAGGCGCTTAACCTCACAGAGAATTGGCCTCTTTCTCCACACAATGGGATAATAATAAAAATGCCTGTCCTGGTGACCTTATGTGGTTTTAATGAAGCACAAAAAACATAACGCAGGTAAAAGTGGTTTTCGGCAGTGATGAGCAAAGGCGCCCACCTGGGAACTGTCTCTTGCCTGCAGGGAGATAAGGAGTGTGCTCCAGAGTGTAAACCCACGCACTGCTTCCTTCATTAAGACAGTCTTGCTATCAATGATAATAATAAAAACAAAAATTGGCTGAATAAACAGTGCACAGTGACATCATTGATTTACTTTTGAGGCAAGCTCCTTCATCTCATTATGCAATTATAATGTCTTGCAAACCAGTGCACTACAAAACCATGACACACAGGTGCATTACTTTTTAAAACTTTCATGTGTAGAGACAAGGTCTTACTCTGCTGCAGGCCATAGTGCAGTGATACGATCAGAGCTCACTGCAACCTCCAACTCCTTAGCTCAAGCCATCCTCCCACCTCAGCCTCCTGAGTAGCTACAGGCATGCATCACCATGCCCAGTTAATTTTTTAATTTTTTGGTAGAGATAGGGTCTAGCTATGTTGCCCAGGCTGGTCTCAAACTCCTGGCCTCAAGTGATCCTCACACCTCAGCCTCCCAAAGTGTTGAGAATACAGGCATGAGCCACTGTGCCCTGCCAACTTTTCATATCTTAATTTTGGAACATGCCTTCACATATAGTATCATGTTTGGTCTACCTAACAACTTTGAGAAATGAAAAAGATAGACGCTATTATCCACTTTTAATGACTTAAAAGATACAGAAGGAAGTCTAGGTCATGGAATATCTTGCCCTGGGTCACACAGGTAGTTAACAGTGGAGTGAGGACTGTCCCACATCCTCAAGTCCCTTGCCAGGTGCATGTCCCTTAAACCACCCTGCCTAATGCCAGCAAGGCCCAGAGGGCAGCACTTGGCCCAGCTGCACTGGGAAAAAAAGGGGCTGTTGTTTCTTCTTCTTTATGAAATATTTGGGGTTTTTGGCTCTTATTGCAGGAAGGAAGAAATGAGAACCTTTCATTTCCTTACCTGGCCTTCCAGTTGTTCTCTTCCTGTCCAGCAGTTTGTCAGAGCATAACAGAAAACAGATAGTGAAAAGAGGTGGACATACAGAGGCTATGCAAGCCTGAGGCGCTGGCTCCAAATCAAATGAATTTTGTTTGTTTGTTTGTTCATTTACCTAAATTGCTCCTGGGTGATGCCAGTCCTGCTCATTGGGTGTCCAGCCGGCCAAGAACCAGACTCAGCCCCTGCTCGTGTGTTGACATTGTCAGCTCTGCATTCCTGTAACCAGGCTCTGGGTGGCTTCTTCTGTTTCAGAATGGCTACACCCCTTTGCACATCGCTGCCAAGCAGAACCAGGTGGAGGTGGCCCGCAGTCTGCTGCAGTATGGGGGCTCAGCAAACGCCGAGTCGGTGCAAGGTGTGACGCCCCTTCACCTGGCCGCCCAGGAGGGCCACGCAGAGATGGTGGCTCTGCTGCTCTCGAAACAAGCCAACGGCAACCTGGGGAACAAGGTAGACATGGCATCTTTGGATCTGCCCTGGAGTGCTGGCTAACAATGTGTGGTGTCTGCATATTAAGTATCTGTGTGTGCCCAGGTTCTGAGTTAGGGCTGTGTGTGTGTAAACCTTGGAACAGCCCTGTGTACATTTCACCTTCATTTTATAAATGAATAAACAGAAAGGTTGCTTATTCCCAAGATGGCAGGATTCTGAGCCTTTCTGATGCCAAAACCTTTGCTGATCTTTCTAAACAGATTGACTTAAGGATCTGCAGAAAGATCAATATTAAAATCCATAATACACTTTCCCAAATATAGGCCGGTGCCTACCTTCAGAAGTACATTCTATCATTTGGGACTAAATATTCTATGTTCTATGGGGAAAGATGTTTTAAAACTACTGACCTATACACTAGGAGTTCTTACTCCAGTGACAATAGGTATGTGAGGATAAAGCCTTCTAAAACTGCGCACACATCTGGGGAGGAAGGGTGTGTGAGCAGTTTTCTGGGTGAAGTGTTCAGTGTTTCTCAGCTTCTCAAAGGAATGTGTGACCCAAAAAAAGACTAAAAATTACTTCTTTTTTAAATAACAGTTTTATCGAAATATAATTCACCTAGAAGGCACCCTTTCAAACTCTACAATTCAATGTTTTTTAGTATTTTTACAGAATTCAGCAGCCTATGATCTAACTCTAGAACACTTTCATCACCCGCAAAGGGAACCCCGTACCTGTTAGCAGTCACTTCCCATTTCCCCCAGAGCCCCCGGTCCCTCGCAACCGCCAATCTTTCAGTCTCTAGGAATTTGTCTGTTCTGGACATTTCATATAAGTGGAACCGTGCAATGTGAACAACCACTTCTTCGATGATAAATTCACATAGCAAATACTCAGAAAGGCAAGCATTTTCAGGGCAACTTAAGATTTCTTAAAAACCTGTAGATTTTGTACAAAATCTGGCACATTTTGTACAAATTTGAACAGTTGATCCCCAATGAGGGAACCATTCTGGTTATATCTCATGGCATTCTGGGTTCCTTCACTGCCCCACTTAATGGGAGCTTTGACAGGACACAGTAAGGTGACTGGTAACCCACTCTGTCATCCACACGCTGCCCTCACGAGGCAGATTATTGGTGTTAGCTGAAGAATGAGGCAGAGCGCCTGCCTGAGAGGCTGACACAGTCACTCCTCAACTGAGGACTGTTCTCATTTGAGCCATCCCCAGTCTGCCTGCAGGACAGGCCCGCTAGTTCTGGCCACAGTGGCGTGTAGTGGGGTGTCATGACTACCCATAAGCCTCTGGTCAGCCTGCGGGATGTACAGAAGGCAGAGGAGGGCAAGTGGAGTCCCGTAAAGGGGACATGGTATGTGCCTGCAGAGAAATCCAGCTTTGTTGGTCCCACATTAGCAAAGGGTATTGAGGCGAAGTCCAGGGGAGAGAAAACTTTTCTGACATTTTCCTGTGGGTGCCCACATGTCAAACAACATCTCTGATACCTTACTGCCTTCCTAAGGAAGCTGTGATGCCACGTGCAAGAATATGGTCCGTTCACTCCTGGTGGGATGCTTTGCCCTCTTGACCATGCCAGCACTGGCTGCGCAGTGATAACAGTATGGTACTTTATTTATTTATTTATTTATTTAAGATGGAGTCTTGTTCTGTCACCCAGTCTGGAGTGCAGTGGTGCAATCTCGGCTCACTGCAACCTCTGCCTCCCAGGTTCAAGTGATTCTCCTGCCTCAGCCACCCAAGCAGCTGGGATTACAGGCATGAGCCATGACACCCTGCTTATTTTTGTATTTTTAGTAAAGATGGGGGTCTAACCATGTTGGCCAGGCTGGTCTCGAACTCCTGACCTCAGGTGATCCACCCGCCTTGGCCTTCCAAAGTGCTGGGATGACAGGCATGTGCTGCCGCACCCAGCCAGTGTGCTTCATTTAAACAGCACTGTGTGCCTCTCAATGTGCTTCACCTGTGCTTTCTCCAGCACTCCTCACCTTGCCCCTGAGATGGATCCATGATAACCCCTATTGTCTAGATTAGGAAACCAAGGCTACAGGGCTCTGAAATTCACCATGGAAATAGGGCATTCTTTATTGGGAAGTCCATAAAGCACCAACACTGGGAAAGTGCCATAAAGTTCATCTAGATCAGAAGTCAGCAAACTATGGGCCCGTGGGCCAAATCTGGTCCACCACTTGTTTGTGTAAATAAAGTTTTATTGGAACACAGCCATGCCCGTTCATTTAAATGTTAGTCATACAGAGACATGGCCAAAAATATTGATCATCTGGCCCTTAACAGAAAAAGTTGCCAACCCCTGGTCTGGTGTAACCACCTTACTTTTTAGATAAGGACATTGGGGCCCAGAACAAGAAGAGCTTTGCCTGGAGCCAAATAACTAGTTGGTGACTGCAAAGTCAGCTTCAGCTCCCAGACCTCAGAGCTCTTTCCTTGTGGCCTGGAATTCTTTACTTGCTAGAAGGTAATGAACATCTTTTTCTTTGCAGAGTGGACTCACTCCTCTCCATCTGGTAGCACAAGAAGGCCACGTTCCAGTGGCAGACGTGCTGATCAAACACGGCGTCATGGTGGATGCCACCACCCGGGTAAGGCAGGCAGCCGGAACTTCAGTCTGTGTGGACTGCTTGCTCACACTTCAGAACTGAATCTTCCACGGGGCTTTGAAACCCTGAGGACCCAGTGGAACATTCTTCCCTGCCACTTCCTAGAGCGGGCAGTGGAGTTTGAAAACGCTACTCCTAATTATCTTACTTTCCCATGGGGGATTTTTAAAGTTTGCTAGACCTTTGAGCCTCTGCAGTGAGAAAGTGGGACGAATGTTTAATCATGACTCTAAGACCTGTCTAATACGAGTAGTCAGCATGTCAAAATGTCAAGTTTCCCCAGATTCACACAAAAGCTTAGCTCCTTTTCTTCCAGCACTTGGTTAAATTCAGTTCAACTTTCTCTGAACCTCTGATGTGTGCAAGGAGCTATGTGAATGGAATCTGCCATCAAGGCGTCTGCAGTTTGGTATGGAGGTGATCGCTAGGGACAGGAAGGAAGAGCGTAATCTGATATTTACTCTTAAGAGAGGAGCTGGGAGCACAGAGGGCAGAGAGGGTGTTTTCAGTCAGTGCGAGGAGGCGGGCTTCATGGAAGAAGCCACATTTTGTTTCTTTTCCCCACAAGGGAACCATATTAAAAGGAAGGGACAGTGACAGTACCAGGAACTCCTGCCCCCTCCAGAGTAGCACAGAAATGCCAGCAACAATGTTATGCTGAAGTCACCCTGAGAAAAGTCTGGAAACTGTGTTTTGTCTCCAACTGCCTGCAGCTTCCACAGGAACCTGCTTAAAATCTAAGAATGTTCTGGATCTTTGAGGCTTCACTTGCAGGCCCTGTTTAGTCTTTTGGGGTCCTGCACCAAGAGACCCTGTCCTGTGGGTTAGAATGGCCTTGAGGATCCCAGAGTCACCCCATTATGGGAAGGAACTGTGCTTGGGTGGTCTCTGATCTGGCACCAGCTTCCCGGGACACTTGGGACCAAGGAGCTCAGAGGGCCTTGGCCTGCCTGCCCACAGGAAGCATTACCACAAAATTCAGCAGGACAGACTCCTTGAACAGCCCAGACTCACATGAGCAAATGTCCCAAGCCCATGCATTTCAATAAGCAATGATGAGTTCCTGTAAATTCCATCACGCCACAACTAAGTCACTTGGACAGCCTTTTGGGGGTTTTTCAATGGGATTTCAGCTTTCTAATGGAAATAAGCCTGTTGTCATTGGAGTGAACATGACCTCACATCCCCATCTGCCCTCATCTCAGCGCCATTCCCAGGCCTGAAGGCTATTTCTTCCTCTTGAAATAGCCCCCTGGGATTCTGTGACGCTGCTCTCTCCAGGTTTCCCTCTCCTCTCTTCTGCCTCAGCCTCACTCCCTCAGCCCCACTTTTCACCTTCCACTTTATCCTGGGGGACCTCACTCACCTCCAAAGCTCTCAGATCTCCCATGCACTGACGACCCCAGCATAGCCCTCTTCTTGCGGTTCAGTGTCCATTTTCCAGTCGCCAGTTGACATCTCCCCTTGGATCTCCCACAAGCATCTCAGCCTGGTGGTCTCTGCCCAGCAGCAGCCATTCAGCTCGTCAGTGTCAGCCTTCAAGGGGCTCCCTGTCCATTTTTTCTTTGAATTGGCTGCTTTGGGAAGGATTTCATGTGATGCCCACCTCAGGAGAGCTCTGGTCACTCCTTCTCATCTGCTTTTCAGATGGGCTACACTCCCCTCCATGTGGCCAGTCACTACGGAAACATCAAGCTGGTGAAGTTTCTGCTGCAGCACCAGGCAGATGTAAACGCCAAGACCAAGGTACAGGGATGCCCTAGCCCCGACTCCTGCACTGACCCTTCTCCATGCCACATCAGGGTGCAGCCAGAGCTGCTGCTCTGGGCCACTAGGGGTTCCACCACAGTTGACCATGGACACTGAAGGAAGAAAGGGGGAAAATGCATTTTATTAATGTCCCACTTCGAAAATGGACAGGCACTATCATGTGTAGGCAGGTCTCTGTCTAATGGTTGGCTAACCCTGCCAAAATGTCTGGTTGCTTTGCAGCTAGGATACAGCCCCCTGCACCAGGCAGCCCAGCAGGGACACACAGACATCGTGACTCTGCTTCTGAAAAACGGTGCTTCCCCAAACGAGGTCAGCTCGGTGAGTACACTCTCTCTCTCCTGAGTTTAGAAAACTGCTCCCTGTGGCAGCAGCCCTGGGTGACCTCCCCTAACCATAGAGGTTAACGCACATGTCTGGGGCCTGGATGGGGCCGCAAGACCCTATAGCTACCTTGGATACCCTGGGGATGGGGCACTGTGATCAGTTCCTCTTTCTGGTGAATTGATCGTTTTCCTTTTCAGCACCATTTTCCCTCCTCTTTTATGTTTATTAAAATATCCTTGAGTGCGAGTGCAGTGGCTCACGCCTGTAATCACAGCACTTTAGGAGGCTAAGGAGGGAGGATTGCTTGAGGGCAGGAGTTCAGGACCAGCCTGGGCAACACAGTGAGTGCCTGAATCTACAAAAAAAAATTTTTAATTATGTGGATGTAGTGACACATATTAGCTGTAGTCCCAGCTAACTGGGAGGCTGAAGTGGGAGGATAGCCTGAGTCCAGGAAGTCGAGGCTGCAGGGAGTTGTGATTGCACCACTGCAGTTCAGTGTCCATTTTCCAGTTGCCCACTTGAAAGCCAACCTGGAAGACAGAGCAAGACCTTGTGTCTTTTTATATATATATATATACACACACACACACACACACACACACACAGACATATACATATATATATGCACATACACACATATATACCATATATATAAATATTTGTTGAAACCCATTCTAAAATATGTGAAACTGTTTTCAATATGGTGCAAGTGAACATAGTTCAATGTCCTGGGTGGTTCCTGATCTTTCAGGGCTTGAGGTTATCTTTAGTGACATCAGCAAGCATTGTTCACTATGAGCTTTCTCATCTGACCATGCGGAGGTTCTATGAAATTATCTCCGTGTTTGCTTCTATCTCTGAAATAATGTGGACCCCCTTGGCTGGGTGCGGTGGCTCACACCTGTAATCCCAGCACTTTGGGAGGCCAAGGCAGGTGGATCACTTGAGGTCAGGAGTTAGAGACCAGCCTGGCCAACACTCCAGGGCGAGTGTCTCTACTAAAAATATAAAAAAAAATTAGCCGAGTGAGGTGACAGGCACCTGTAGTCCCAGCTACTCGGGAAGCTGAGGCACAAGAACCACTTGAGTCCAGGAGGCAGAAGTTACAGTGAGCCTAGATTCCGCCACTGCACTCCAGCCTGGGCGACAGAGTGAGACTCTGTCTCTCACACACACACACACACACAAAAGTGGATCCTTGATTGTAGATGGGGTTGCAGAAATTGCAGCTGCAGCTGAGCTTGAATCTGAACGGAGCCCAAGGCACATCCTAGAAGTAGAGAAGTCAAAAGAAAAATCAAGCCTCAGTATCCATTTATGATCACGTAGCTCTTTCTCTTCGAATCAAAGTAGAAAGTATGCCCTTGCTGTGTTTCTGGTGATTTGTGATTTCTGAGTATTCTGATTAGAGTTCATTGAAGTATATGGATTAATTCAACTTCTTTAATACCCCATCACTGACACCCAAGAACAGACTTTGGGAGCAGCAAGCAGCCTCCGTCTGTCCTCATCTTCCTAAAACTGCATCTGCTAACTTCCTGACCTCCTTCCCGGTGGGCACCCACTTGGCAGAGCCTGACTTCTCCTTGGGAGATTTCCCCTGCTGGGTTGCAAGGCCCCACACTTGACGCTGCAGATCAAAAGCACCCCTCCCCTCCCTCCTCCCACACCCATCTCTGGGTGCTGCTGCTAACACACATCTAGGCACACACACGTGCAGGAATCTCGTTCTGGGCCCCACGGTGACATCTGTCCACTCAGGTTCTCCTGAACAACTAGAAGGTGAACTCGATCTGTGTCTAAGGGGCCAGCCCCGCCTGCTAGACTCCATCCTCTGACTGCACCCGGGCTGCTCTTTTCCCAGGATGGAACCACACCTCTGGCCATAGCCAAGCGCTTGGGCTACATTTCTGTCACTGACGTGCTCAAGGTCGTCACGGATGAAACCAGTTTCGTGGTATGTCTGCCTCTCCCCCGCACCCACCCCGGACACACTCAGCCTGGCGCAGAGGCGTGCCCAGGGTTACTCTGGAAGTGGGGTGCGTTCTGGCGCTCCAGGACGCCGGTCGGAGGCTCAGCGCCCAATGGGTGGGAACTTGTCCTCCTTCCAGCGGGGCTGTGCTGCCACCTAGCGGTCTGAGGACTCGGGGCAGGACCAGCATTCCGAGCAGCAGTGGAGTGGATGGGGTTTGGGGAGATGGGAAGCCAGTTTTCCCGGGTCCCATCTCAGTGGTTCCTGCCTGGCAGCTTCTAGGCTGAGCACCTCCTCCGTCCGTTTTTCTGCGTTTGGGGCACACCCCACAGGCGTGACCAGGGAACCGCTGGGCTGGTAAAAAATGTGTGCGGCCCTAGTTTGGGTTGAATTATCTGCTTTTTCTCATTTTAGTTAGTCAGTGATAAGCATCGGATGAGTTTCCCTGAGACAGTTGATGAGATCCTGGATGTCTCGGAAGATGAAGGTAAAGCTGGGGTAATGAGCTCAGGCTGGTGGGGACAGAGGGGCTCTGGGCACCCTCCAATGGGGCTTCCTGCCACCTGCCGGCTTTGCCCCCTTACAACACGCCCAAGAGCTGTAGATGGACACTGAAAGTGGGGAGACCTGCTTTTTATAGCTGTTATCTATTATCAAAAATACTACTCTATTAATACAATCTTAGGTGAAGGAACATTGACTAAATTTAAAATTCCGTGAAGTTTCAAAAACACATATGTGTTTGCATAGATTATGGATGTGTATCAAATTGGAGCATGGTTCTACTCAGACCAACTCTCAGCCCATGAGGAACTGTACTAAAATTCTGTCTGGTTCTTTCTTTATGCTTTGAATGAATACTAAGTGGATTATTCAAAATCTGTGAGAATGCCTTTTAAGCTGCACTTCAACCACATAGCGGGTCAGTAGGTTTTGGGTTTTTTCTGTGATTATGAAATTACTATAGTCTGGCTGGCTGCCTGGGTTCATGCCTGTAATCCCAGAATTTTGGGCAGCCAAGGTTGGAGGATTGCTTGAGGCTAGGAGTTCAAGACCAGCCTTGGGCAATATAGGGAGACCCCCGTCTCTACAAAAAAAATTGGAACTAAAAATTAGCGGGGTGTGGTGGTGCACATTTATAGTCCCAGCTTCTCTGGAGGCTGAGGTGGGAGGATTGCTTGAGTCCAGGAGCTTGAGGCTGCAGTGAGCTGTAATCACCCCACTGCACTCCAGCCTGGGTGACAGAGCCAGACCCTGTCTCTAAAAGAAAAAGAAAGAAATTACTATAGTCTCAGCTTATATGAACTACAGAATGCTTCCAGTATTTTCCTACCCCCAACAAACCTTATTTCACCACTAATTAGATGGGGATATTGAGCAGTAAGATCCTCAACTCTGGGGATGTTGAATAGTGGGGTGGGCTGGATCAGCTCGGTAGTCCTTTCCATCTGGGTTATTCCATGGTTGTATAACTTTGTCAACTAGAGAAGCAGAGCTGTCTGGTGCTCCTTTGGATAATATATGTCTCTCGCTTTAACTGCCTTCAATGTGGTCCTTCTTTCAACTCTGCTCTCCTTTGCTTTCCAGGAACTGCTCATATAACTATAATGGGTATGAAACGCTTTCTGTTTCCTGTGGTCTTTTCTCACTGGAGTGCATTTCACCCTAAGCAACCCAGATGCTCACTAATCCATTCCTGCTTTCCATCTTCCTCTGACAGCGAATAACCTGGAGCCAGGAGCTCAACTAAACCAAGGAATTCACACCCATGAGACCCATGCCCGGCAGGCAGCTCCTGCCTGTCCATCTCTGTGTCTGTGCCCATGCCACCACGTTTGTGATCATAACTGCATGAGCTGTTGTTTTTCCATCCTGTCAGCTCCAGATCACAAGCCATGGTGCTCACTGCTGGGTGGCATTGAATGACCCCTCAAGGTTGAGGGCCGGGGCTCCAGCTCCAGTTCAAACTAGGAGAGAGAGGCAGTCAGAGGTGCAGGCAGCTGACAAAGGGGCAGTCAGAGGTGCAGGCAGCTGATTGACCCGTAGTTTGAACCTCTTTGTGATGGGTTTTGGAAGTAATGAGGTTTTGGCTGCCGTGGTTACAGAAAATTATCCAGCCCTTTGAAATGAGTGGATCCAGTTCCACTGTAGTTTGTTCTTCTGTTGGTGTGGAGTGGAAAAGAGCAGTAGCAGTTCCTTCTTTGGTGTCATTGCACCCTAAAAGGGCTGTTTTGAATTGGAACTAAGCGAAGAAAGTTCTTTCTGCTGTGTCTTTGGCTTCCTGCAAAGCCTCAGGCATCTAAGATGTCAGGAGCTGGCTGCCCTGCTCTCTATCCCAGAGCTGGAGGACCAGGACTGGGCAAAGACATTGCTCCCGGTCTCCTTGCAGCATCAAGGCCTTCCCCACTCCTCAGGAGCAAGCCCTGAGAGGCGGAGTGGGAACAGAGCTTTTTAAAAAGTAAGAGGGACTCTTCTCCCTCTACCCTGTTGCTCACTTGAGCTCTTGCTGTTTCAGGGGAAGAACTCATCGGCTCCAAGCCTGAGAGGCCGGATTCCAGGGATGTCGATGAAGAGAAGGAGCTCCTGGATTTTGTGCCAAAGCTAGACCAAGTGTGAGCAGCACTCCTGGGAGGGTCCCTAGGGAGATGCCGAGGTGTAACCCTGTGGCTCAGAGCAGGGATTCCAGAGGGAGGAAGAGCACAGCAGGCCAGGTGCTGGGCATGCTGCCCACAGAGAGAGACGGTTTGCACCTTAGGATGCACTAGCTGTGCACCTGAGCCACCAGGGCAGGAGGAGGCCTTCCTCACACCATGCTGTCTGGATGCCTCTCTGCTCCTCTTCCAGTGTCCCCTCCTCTCCCAGGCTCCCCTCATTCACAGCCTTATATCCACACCCCCTCTCTGTCTTATGCACACTCAACTTCTCATCCAAAAGTTGAGGAAGATGGCTGGGCACGGTAGCTCACACCTGTAATCCCAGCACTTTGGGAGACTGAGGCAGGAGGATCACCTGAGGTCAGGAGTTCATGACCAACCTGACCAACATGGTGAAACCCCGTCTCTACTAAAAATACAGAAAAATAGCTGAATGTGGCGGTGCGCATCTATAGTCCCAGCTACTTGGGAGGCTGAGGCAGGAGAACTGCTTGAACCCAGGAGGTGGAGGTTGCAGTGAGCCAAGATTGTGTCACTGTACTCCAGCCTGGGCAACAGAGTGAGACTCCATCTCAAAAAAAAAAAAAAAAAAAAAAGTTGAGGAAGATTCACATTAGAAACGATTGCCAGGCTAAGCTCGAACTCTGACTGCATCCCTCTGCCCCTGAGGTATGTTAGGTACAAGCCAGGGGAGATTCGGGTCTGCCTGGACCACATTTCTCATTTCCCCCGTGACTGCTGTGAGTTATCTCACTGTGGGCACAGTGTACACAGGGACATTCTGCAAAGCAATCTAATATCAACGACTTTGTAGAAACACTAAGCCCTAGGTGTTTTCTGAAAAGACGGAAATGTCCCTGAACAAGCGGGGAGTGAAACCACGGGGCCATTTGCTCCATTTGAATTTGCTAGACATCTGTTAGAAAGAAATACAGAGCTGTAACCCTGACCATAAGCAACTTATGATTCATTTGGTGGGATCGAAATGCACACCAAGTGGTCATGTAGCAACACAGAAAGATATATTGTTAGCCAGAACGAGGATTCTGTCAACAGGTTCTAAAGGAGGAGAAAGGGGTGGCGAGTGCAGGTTGGAGTCATTGGGGAGGACTTCATGGAGGAGGAGGCAGTCCTTCCACCAGGTTGTGAAGGGCAGTCAGGCTCCGGAGTGGAAAGCGGGAGGGAGAGACTTGGAGGCAAGAGGAAGAGGAAGCTGTGTGCACATGTGGATCAGCCCTGTGATGTTCTGGCGTTCTTGGCATGCAGGGTGGAATCTCCAGCCATCCCCAGGATTCCCTGTGTCACACCTGAGACAGTGGTGATCAGGTCAGAAGAGCAGGAGCAGGTAAGAAGCTGCTTGTCTGTGGTTTCCCCACGTGGAGAGCACGAGTACCCCGGGACAGTGATTGTTGAGGGGTGGCCTGTACGTAGCACAATAGACACTGATAGCTCACATGCCACTCACTGTCCAACTGGCATTCCACGCTTGGACGCCTCATAATGGTGCAACATCGGCGGCATTGGTTGGGCTGCGTCTGGGAGAGATGGTCAGATGAGGCCCTATCCTGTGGTGGTTCAGTCCTTGGATGCAGCCCAGGACAGCAGCAGTGAGAAACCCGCGGGTCCTTGACCAGCCCACTGTCTTCAACTCTTGGCCTAGGGTAGGAATTCCAGCCAGCAGATGTTTACTGGATTCCTGCTGTGTGCCCTGGACAAGCTCAGGCAGGAGGGCTGGACACCTGTCTCCTGGGAGCCAGGGTCCAACCAGAAAGAGTGGACTCGGACGCGTGAACCCAGTTAGCACAGAAGTGGGAGGGAGAGCAGGGGAGTGCTCCACTGTGTGGTGTGAGTGCTGGCAGAGTGCAGAGCAGGGAGGCCCTAGCCAGCCCCAGGGTGGCCGGGAGTACCTGTGGAGGAGGTGAGATGTGGGGAGTGGAGAGGATTAGATCCACAAGGGTGAGGGACAAGGATGTTCTGGACTGGGGGAGAAGCAGACGTGAAGATCTAGAGAGCACCAAGGCCAGGCTCAGGTCCTGCTGGCTGTGCCAGGGCAGGCTGGCATCCCTGTAGTTGCAATGTTACCCTAAGGCAAGTCCCCGCAAGGAAGCAGGAAGCCCCACAAGGGCGGGAGTCTGTTGTGTTCACCTCATGGACTCCAGATGTCCACAGGGCAGGTAGCCCACCCACAGCTAAGTGGTGAGGCGGTCACGGTGCTGGGATGCAGTGCCCGTCCTAGAGGAAGTTGGCCTGCCGAGGGCAGGGCTCCCCGTGGGCAGAGCTGGAAAGAAGGGGGCAGGTCTGCAGCAGGTGCAGTGGGCCTGGGGGCCAGGAGTCAGATTGAATGGTGAGGACTGGCTCCATCCATTCCAAGGCTGTGTCCCAGGGTCTTGAGCCCAGGAGAGGCATGGAGGTGGGAGGAAGCTCCTGTCTCCTTTTAGACTCCAGGACAGCCTTGTCTGATAGGGCGGTGGGGTCCTGTGGGAGCACTTTCTCCACGTGGCACCTGGTTTCTAGCAGCAAGGCTCTTCCAAGCCTCCATGCCCTGGCACGGCATCCAGCCGGCCAGGGAGGAAGTGGAACAGGAGGGCCTTTTCTCTGTCCTCAGGCATCTAAAGAGTATGATGAGGACTCCCTCATCCCCAGCAGTCCGGCCACCGAGACCTCAGACAACATCAGCCCGGTGGCCAGCCCGGTGCACACAGGGTGAGTGGCGGGCGCAGGGCTCGGGACTCCTGTCTCCATCTCCCAGAGGGGATGCAGAAGCCCAGCGTGCATCTGCCCCACTCCTAGGTTTCTGGTGAGCTTCATGGTCGACGCCCGGGGTGGTTCCATGAGAGGAAGTCGCCACAACGGCCTGCGAGTGGTGATCCCACCACGGACGTGCGCGGCGCCCACCCGCATCACGTGCCGCCTGGTCAAGCCCCAGAAGCTCAGCACGCCGCCCCCACTGGCCGAGGAGGAGGGCCTGGCCAGCAGGATCATCACGCTGGGGCCCACAGGGGCACAGTTCCTGAGGTGAGCATGCACAGGCAGCCCATGTCCTCACCTGTCCCTGTGCCATGGAGGCCACGCCATCTCCACTGTCCCGACGGGGAAACAGAACTGGGTGCCCCTCCCCTTTCCCTGACTTTTCCTAACACATGAAGGCGTCCATAGCCCTGAGAGGGCTTACAACGCTCAGATCTCAGATCGGGCATGATAGCTCACGCCTGTAATTCCAATGCTTTGGGAGGCTGAGATGAGAGCATCGCTTGAGGCCAGGAGTTCGAGACCAGCCTGGAAAACATAGCAAGACCCCGTCATTGTAAAAAATAAAAACAAAACCAAAAAAACAACTCTTAAATATTGCGTGACACTAGAGACAAGGCCAATCTGAGGCCCTGAGGGTCTGACCATTCATGCACTGAGAGTCCCCAGGAAGACAGCCTCCCTGGCTGTTTCCCCTGCGGATGAGCGAAGTACGCAGCTCCAGAGGCCTATGGCCCACCTCCCTGAAGCAGCCTGGGCTCCTCCTGGAGCTTTGCTACCCTTCAGGCACCATGGGTGTGATGTGGGGACAGGGCTGACCAGGAGGCCCTGCCTTCTACCTCTGTCCACCCTCCTGGCCCCCCTCAGAGCGGTCACCACAATTTGCAAAGCAGCAAGTTTTCTCATTGACCTTTCTTTGTCCTCAAAGCGTCCCTCCGAAGGAAATGTCATTATGACCAGTTGATAGATGAGGTTACCCATCTAGGGATGTCAGATGGATTTTTAGAATCAGGTGCAAGGACAGGATCCTTAGGTCGTGGGAGCAGAGCCCCCATGAAATGAGACTGGCCCTGCCCTCACTGTTACTGCAAGCCTGGTGGGGAGCAAGCAGGGCTGTGGGAAGCCCGGGGGACCCCCACGGGTCTGATCCACTTAGAGACCTGCCTGCAGGTAGGGCCTCCACGTGGCTGTGGAAGCGCCTTCTCCATCTGGGTGGGAGCTGGCAGCCCCATCCCTCCCTGTGCCCTGCCTGCCCTGTGTGAGCACCTCCCCACCACCACTGTGTCCTTGCCTCAGCCCTGTAATTGTGGAGATCCCGCACTTTGCCTCCCATGGCCGAGGAGACCGGGAGCTCGTGGTTCTGAGGAGTGAAAACGGCTCCGTGTGGAAGGAGCACAGGAGCCGCTATGGAGAGAGCTACCTGGATCAGATCCTCAACGGGATGGACGAAGGTAGTAGGGGGGATCCCAGGGCTGGGTCCCCTCCTTGCGGAAGAGGGGTTTGAGTTGCACCTTAAAGGTGGTCTTTCAGGGCCACCTGGAGTTTGGGAAGCCCCAAGAGGCTGGAAATGGCCTGGTGTGGACAAGCCCTGGGTCCCCAGGATGTGTGAGGGGATGCTCAGCTGCTGCCTGCAGCCGCATCTGCTCTGCTGGGCCTCTGGGCCTGGGCACTTCTTCTGGCCACTATGCCGCCTGGCACCTGGAGAGGGTGTGTGCACTGGGTCTTGGGGACAAGGAGGCTCTGGGGCCCCTGGAAGGCCTGAACCTGTGCCTGATGTGACCGGGGTGGTGGCCTGTGTGTGTGATTCCAGAGCTGGGGAGCCTGGAGGAGCTGGAGAAGAAGAGGGTGTGCCGAATCATCACCACCGACTTCCCGCTATACTTTGTGATCATGTCGCGGCTCTGCCAGGACTACGACACCATCGGTCCCGAAGGGGGCTCCCTGAAGAGCAAGCTGGTGCCCCTGGTACAGGCAACGTTCCCGGAGAATGCAGTCACCAAGAGAGTGAAGCTGGCTCTGCAGGTGACAGCTCTCCTCCCCGCCAGGTCCTGGGGGTGGACTGAACTCCAGGCCCCGGGAAGGCCACCCTCTTCCCCAAGACATCCCCATGCTTTTGTCCAGTGCTTTGAAATACCACAGTGGAGATCTGACTTGAAAGCTCAAAGGAGAGTTGAGTGGGAAGGGGTGAGGCAGAAGCTCCCTGATAAGGTGCATCCATCAAGCTGCATGACCCGGTCTGTGCAGCATGCGGGAACCGCATGACCTCTGGGAGCTGGCCGTGATGCGAGCAAAGATGCACCAGCCCTGGGAGTAAGAAGCAGAGGAGAGGGGGAGAAAGGGCTTAGGAAGGCGAGCTCCACCATGTCAGTCCTGCGGTCCAACAGCAGAGGGGACCCCATGCACCGATGGCCACTCTCTCTGGGCATGGAGCTGCCTCCCGTCTGACTAGCCCCTCTCCTGCTTGGGCCTGAGTGTCCTGCCTCTGTCATTTCACAGGCCCAGCCTGTCCCAGATGAGCTTGTCACTAAGCTCCTGGGCAACCAGGCCACATTCAGCCCCATTGTCACTGTGGAGCCCCGGCGCCGGAAGTTCCACCGCCCCATCGGACTTCGGATCCCGCTACCTCCTTCCTGGACCGACAACCCGAGGGACAGCGGGGAGGGAGACACCACCAGCCTGCGCCTGCTTTGCAGCGTCATTGGTGAGAGGGGCCCCTGTCTCAGACTTGTGTTCTCCACAGCTGCAGTGCTTCTGGAACACAGTAGGGGGTGACGCGAGAAGGCGAGGCCAGCAATCCCCTTAGTTTTTGTTGGCTTCCCCGGGAGTGAGGTGCTCTTCCAAGAGGTGGAAGGATGATGCATCGGCATAAAAGTCCAAGCCCACGCAGTGGCTCACGCCTGTAATCCCAGCACTTCAGGAGGCCGAGGCAGGTGGATCACCTGAGGTCAAGAGTTCGAGACAAGCCTGACCAACATGGAGAAACCCCATCTCTACTAAAAATACAAAAATTAGTCACGTGTGGTGGCACACGCCTGTAAACCCAGCTACTCCAGAGGCTGAGGCAGGAGAATTGCTTGAACCTGGGAGGTGGAGGTTGCAGTGAGACGAGATCCTTCCACTCCTGGGCAACAAGCATGAAACTCCATCTAAAAAAAAAAAAAAAAAAAAAGTCCATGGCCCTGGGGAAGAACCCTCCAAGCCCTAGGAGGAGGGGCATGCAGGTCGCTAGGAGGAAGAGCAGAGGGTGAGGGTAGGTGTGCCCAGGGCTACAGACCAAGTGAGCCTCACCCAGTCTCACCTTGCACACCAGGGCCTTAGCATTTTAGTAAGCTCCATGCTTACGTCCTGAAGACTGTCCCCAGCCCCGTTTCTGCCGGTGTTACAGGAGGAACAGACCAAGCTCAGTGGGAAGACATAACAGGAACCACCAAACTTGTATATGCCAACGAGTGCGCCAACTTCACCACCAATGTCTCCGCCAGGTGAGACAAGGCCAGCCCAGCCCAGCACTGTGTGGGCCATCCTCAGGCCTGAGACTGAGGCTCCCTCACTGTCCCCTCCACATGGAAGCCTCTGTGACCACAGGTGTGGCAAGAGTAGCCATGGCGTGGTTCATGGGCTGCTTCCATCTGGACGGAAAGGATGCTTTCTGTTGGGCACTTGGGAACACATTATAACGTGCCCTCCTTTTTAGGTTTTGGCTGTCAGACTGTCCTCGGACTGCTGAGGCTGTGAACTTCGCCACCCTGCTGTACAAAGAGCTCACCGCAGTGCCCTACATGGCCAAATTCGTCATCTTTGCCAAGATGAATGACCCCCGAGAGGGGCGCCTGCGCTGCTACTGCATGACGGATGATAAAGTGGACAAGACCCTGGAGCAGCATGAGAACTTCGTGGAGGTGGCCCGGAGCAGGGACATAGAGGTACGGGGCTGGGCCCTGCACCGCCTCTGGGACAAACCCTCCCGCCATTTCTCCAGAACACCCCTGCCTGGTGCAGGCAGGAAGTCCTCCCTCTGTAGACGAGGGGCTCCACAGCTGTCTCTCTTTGAGACCCCTCTTGAGAAGCATCTTAGATAAGCTTCAGGAAAGGTGAGAGATGCCACCATGCACATATCAGAGGAGGCTGCAGCCTTTTGGTCCAGTGATCTGTGAAAAGAGTTGGCATTTGCAGAAGGTCTTGTGCACCAGGGACTATTAAAAGTGCTGGACAGGCCAGGCGCAGTGGCTCACGCCTGTCATCTCAACACTTTGGGAGGCCGAGGTGGGTGGATCACCTGAGGTCAAGAGTTTGAGACCAGCCTGGCCAACATGGTGAAACCCTGTCTCTACTAAAAATACAAAAATTAGCTGGCGTGGTGGCACAAGCCTGTAATCCCAGCTACTCGGGTGGCTGAGACAGGAGAATCACTTGAACCCGGGAGGCAGAGGTTGCAATGAACCAAGATCACACCACTGCTCTCCAGCCTGGGCGACAGAGCAAGACTCTGTCTTAAAAAAACAAAACAAAACAAAAAAAACAGTGCTAGCCAGCTGGGTATGGTGGTGGGGGCAAGAAACAAAACAAAAAACAAACAAACGAAAGTGCTGGCCAGGCTCAGTGGCTCATGCCTATAATCCCAACACTTTGGAAGGCTGAGGCAGGTGGATCACTTTGAGCCCAGGAGTTTGAGACCAGCCTGGGCAACATAGTGAGATGCCATCTCTATTAAACAAATAACTAAAAATGTTTTTCTTGCATAATCTCATTTAATTCTCATATTTGTGGGTACCTTTATTATTCCTTATTTAGGTATTAAGAAACTGAGACTGAGAGGTTAAGTAATGTGCCCATGGTCACACAGCTAAGTGAGTGGTCGAGACAGGATTTATCCAGGTCATCTCTGGCCCGAGTCCACACTGTGACCTGCTGTGCTAGAGTTTCAGTAGCACCCAAGTGAGGAGGCAGAGGAAAGGGCTTAACAGATAATGCGCAGAGTGAAGGCATGGGGGCTAGGTCTGAACCGGTTCCCGATCCTAAGAGACCCACTTGGTTTAAGATGTGTAGTAAGCCAGCAGTGATCTAAGCCTCAGAATCTGTGCTGAGTTTTCCTGGGGAAGGCTGAGGGCCCCGTAGAACAAGCGCAGGACTGGAACCTTGGTTCTAATCCTATCTTAGGCACTAACGAGGCAAACCGGTTTTTCTCTTTGGGCCTCAATTTTCTCAACTGTCAAATGGGTTAATGATAACTTCTCAGTTGAAAGCTTTATATATACACAGTAGGGACCATTATTATGGGTGAGATTAAAATAGAGCAAGTGCTTTCCAGCTCTTCTCATGAACAAAGCATCTTTGGACAGACGTAAAAACAGAATCTTGGTTTTATTTTTAGAAACAGGATCTCAGTCTGTTGCCCAGGCTGGAGTGCAGTGGTGCCATCATGCCCACTGCAGCCTCAAACTCCTGGCCTCCAGTGATCCTCCTGCCTCAGCATCCCACGTAGCTGGGACTACAGGCACTTGCCACCACACCTGGCTAATTTTTAACATTTTTTTTGGAAAGATGGGGATCTCCTTGTGTTACCCAGGCTGGTCTCAAACTCCTGAACTCAAGCAATCTTCCCACTTTGGCCTTCTAAAATGGAGGGATTACAGGCATGAGCCACAATGCCCAGCCCAGAACCAGGATTTTTTGGTGGTGGTGGTGGTGTTTTTTTTGTTTGTTTGTTTGTTTTTCAGAAACTGTGTTATGATATTCAAGTGACATTTTGGAGTACTTGATAGCAATTCTCATCAACATCTCAGGGATATTAGAAGATCCCTACATATAATAAAATCCATTGAAGTCAGGAAGCATGCCTCATTGATCACAATTTTAGAAATAAAGCCTTTCCCAAAACAAACAGTGGATTTCTCAGCACACACCCCCATGCCTCTTGCTGTGGCAGGGTGTGTCTTGGAGAGGGAAGGACCGAAGGTTGAAGGTGGGACATCTGGGCCCTTCTCTCCCTGACAAGCTGTATCTGCTTTTCCTTTCCTGTAGGTGTTGGAAGGAATGTCCCTCTTTGCAGAACTCTCCGGGAACTTGGTGCCTGTGAAGAAAGCTGCCCAGCAGCGGAGCTTCCACTTCCAGTCATTTCGGGAGAACCGTCTGGCCATACCTGTAAAGGTGCCGGCACCCTCTGGCTGACCTCTCCTCTGGGTCTAGGAAGTTGGGGAGGCAGAATTCTCTAAACCAGACAGCCCAGTGGCCTAGAAAAGGGCCCCTGAATTCTCCTTTGTGTGATTGAGTTTAGGTGAGGGACAGCAGTCGAGAGCCGGGAGGGTCCCTGTCATTTCTGCGCAAGGCGATGAAGTACGAGGACACCCAGCACATACTCTGCCACCTGAACATCACCATGCCCCCCTGCAGCAAGGTGAGCTGGCACCTGCCGAGGAGCCTTGGCCAGAGAAGGCTTCCCCATAGGAGGTCCCCAAACAGACCCCAGGTCCAGCACTTCCAAGGGGCTTCTTTCTGGTGGAACCTTTGAGTCCCCCGAGGCACACAAAGGTGGTGAGCTCTCCTCCACACGCTCATGTTGTGGCCTGGGGGGAGACCGTGCCCTGGCCCTCTCTGCAATTCGTGTGCAGTGCTGGTTATGTGACAGGAGGAACAAATGTTGGTATCAGATGGTGATGGGCACATTCACGCTGTGGACCCTGGGCTCCCTAGGTGTGAAGGTGGCAAGGGGCCCTAAGAGCATCTGCCTCAGTATCCCTGGCCCGAGGCCTCCAAGGTTCGCACCAAGGAGAGCTGCTAAGGTCTCCCAGCCCCGGCATGGCTTCTCTCGGCCGCTTTTTCATCTACCTGCTTATCTTCCCAGGGTGCTAGGCCCTCACAGAAGGGAAGCCTGGTGTCCTCAGCCACTGCAAACACCCAGGGTTTTGAGCTCAGCAAAGGAGTCTTGGCCACGTATGTTCATTTGTCGATACCTGTAAGAGTATCCCAGTCACCACCTCTGCTAGGGACTTTGGAGGGATCATACGTCTCCAGACGTCTCCGTGGTTTTCGTTGGTGTTGTTTTGCTGTTGTTGTTGTTTTAATCATTAGCCTTCCATGCTAAACTAGGAAAGAAGCAAGGTTACATTCATAAGTCCATGGCTCAATCTCTTTGGGGATGAGATGAGGGTGAACCAACTTATCTTTCAAAAGAGGATTTTCAGGCTGGGCACAGAGGCTCATGCCTGTAACCCCAGTGCTTTGGGAGGCTGGGACAAGAGGATTGCTTGAGCCCAGGAGTTCAAGACTAGCCTGGGCAACATAGTGAGATCCTGTCTGTACAAAAAAATAAAAATGAAAAATTAGCTGGGCATGGTGGCATGCACCTGTAGTCCCCAGCACTCGGGAGGCTGAAGCAGAAGGATCACTTGAGACCAGGAGTTTGAGGCTGCAGTGAGCCATGATCATGCCACTGCACTCTAGCTTCAGAGACAGAGTGAGACCCTGGCTCTTAAAAACAAGAGAGAGAGAATATTTTTCTGCAGCCTTGGGCAAGCATCTGGATGCTTTCCATAGGGCTGTAATGTTAAGGCCTTAGGGCAGTACAGAAACGGGTCTTTGAAGCAGAAAGAAATCCAAAAAGAAAAACAATTGTTTTAAGTTCAAACCCAGCTCCACCACCTATTAACTGGGTGATCTTGGGCAAGGAACTTAGTCTCTCTATGCTTCAGTTTCCTTATTGATGAAATGGGAGTAATACAGTACCCAGCTCCTACGTTGCCATGAACATTAAATAGGGCCTCACAGGTGATGGGGTGACGTGGGCTTGCCGTTATTATGACTGTGATTAATAACGCATGTACACTTTGTCAGCTTCCCTTCACTCCCACTCCTCCCGTGCGTTACTCTTTGTACTAAGTCCCTGAAGAAATGGACTGTTTACCAGGACTGGGGTCAGCCTTCCCCACCCCTGCATCATAGGAGCTCAGATCACCTTCTCTAGGAAGGTGGGGAGAGTCCAAAACCCAAAGCACCCTTTCTTCTTCTGCAGGGAAGCGGAGCTGAAGACAGGAGAAGGACGCCGACACCCCTGGCCCTGCGATACAGCATTCTCAGTGAGTCCACACCAGGTACAGCCTCTGTGTGATAATGCATGCTTGCTCTCTTCCCAAGAAGGGTGGGTGTGAGCTTATCTCCCTGCAGCCCTGTGAGGGCTCTGCTGAGGTGCCGCTCGCTCAGCCAGTTCCAAAAGCAGCTGCAGATCTGACTCAGGTCTTCCCCTGATCTTGCAGAGAGTCTAGACAATCACCCCAGTGCACACGGAAGCCACGTCCATCAAAGGCCATATCCTCACGCCTGTCAACTGTATCCTGCCCTGGCTACTAAATGAAATCTAATGCTTCTCCCCAGGTCTTCTCAGTGGGACAGACCAGGCAGAGAAAATGGCTGTTATCTCAGAGCACCTCGGTCTCAGCTGGGCAGGTGAGTGGGGAATTGGGGACAGAAAAGCACTTTGTCCGTCTCACCTACCCTCTTCCCCCATAATGAGCAATGAATGAGGCATTTCTAACCCTCCTTTTATCACCCATGGGTTATCTGATTTGTGATTGTCTGAGCTGGGTCTGCTGTCCAAGCCACACCATTGAGTGCCCATGGAAGGGGGAGCCCCCTGCATCCATCTCTGTCTGACTTTCCTTTCTAAGAAAGAATCAACTTTTGAGGTTACAGGCGACCTTGAAAAGGAGGGAAGGAGAGGGCAAGTCTCGACATATTTCACTATAGTCCGTGGCTGTGCCTGGATCTCGCAGAAGTCCTGCCAGGCCTCGGGGTCGATCTTATTTAAGGGAGGCAGGTGGGCAAATAAAGTGAAGGCTCAGAATGTGCTGTGCCCAACCACAGACCCTAGAACTGGATTCTCCCTGTGTAACTGCAGCAGGTCCATTGCCCGATGTGAATGGCAAGTCAAGACACACGGAGACACGGGGTTGCAGCAGTGAAAGAGGCTTAATCACAGGGCCACCAAACAAGGAGGGAGGAGGAAACCTCAAATCCATCTCCCCAAGGAGGCGTTCAGGGTTAGGGCTGTTAAAGGCTTTGGAGTGGCTGAAGTGTGGAGGTGGTTGATTGGTTGGAAAGTACAGGGTGAAGTCATGGACAGGGAGAGGAAGAAGCTACGTTCTCGTGCTGATCCCTGCCTTCAAACTGGTTGCTGGAATTGGGACTCTGAAAACCATCTTAAGGGATCCTTAAACAGAAGCCTAATGTCAGAAACCCTGTCTTTAGGAACAATGGGGGTGCAAGTGGTCAGTGTCCAGCACTGTGTGGCTTTGAGCAACAAAGAAGAGGACCCAAATGCAGCTTGGTGAATGCTTAATTATAACTGTATTTCTGTCCAGAGCCCAGCGCTCAATTCTGGTTGACGCTGAGAAGTGGCTTCCCCTCCCCCTCCTTATTTTTTGTTAGCCTTTATATGAGTAGACTCCCTTCATTCACTTCACTTCACTTCATTCACTAAAGAAGACTTTAGACATACTCAGAAACCTTTTGGCAATAACTTGTGGAAAGACAGAAGTCCAGACATGGCTCCTTCTTTAAACCATGACTGCTGGCTGCTCAGGGGGCGTGTATGTGCATGCGTGTGTGCGCGCATATGTGTTGTGAGTGTGTGCATGTTTGTGTTGTGTGTACGTGTTCTGATTCTTACCATCACTTTCTCCCCAGTCGTCTTCATCCTTGAAATTAGACTCTAATGCTATTTTCCTTCTAAAGAAATAACAATAAAAATAATGGGGGATTTTGGCTAACAGTCTGCATTATTGCCTTGCATTTAGATGGGAACTTGTATTTTCATTTTAAATGTAAATAACACCTCTCCCTGAAGAAGTATAAGCTCAGGAGTCCATTGCTGTTCTCACTGGTTCTCGGCAGCAGGGCGTGGTGTCCTGGTGTGGCCAAGGCAGCGCCGGGGTGAGAATTGGCCGGTGCGGCTCCCTCCTGACTCAGGGACTCACTGACTCTGTGACCTTGCAGAAGTTGCTGACCTTGCTGAAAGGTCATGTCATCTCATATTGGAAGTTATGAAAGGAAGAAAGGACATTTAATCATTCATTTATTCATTCATTCAGGACCTATGTATCAAGCACCCCTCCCATTCTTCCATTTTCTGGAGATATAAAGGTATAGGTGCTGGCATTTCATAAGGAACTTCTTGATAAGAAGGAAGACCAAATCCACAGGGAGGCTGCCTCAGAGCTCCCTGTGCTCCCCACTGGGTGCCCTCACGCCCCAGTGCCCACCCAGCCTGTGTGCTGGAGGCCCCCTGCATGGCTCACATTTGCTGTTGTTTCTTTGCTTGCAGAGTTGGCCCGGGAGCTGCAGTTCAGTGTGGAAGACATCAACAGGATCCGAGTGGAAAATCCCAACTCCCTGTTGGAGCAGAGCGTGGCCTTGCTGAACCTCTGGGTCATCCGTGAAGGCCAAAACACAGACAGTCAGTACCGTCCCGCTGAGGAAGCCTGTCCTAGGACCTCCTCCCCACCCAACTGTTCTTTCTTCAAATTCCATTCTGGCCTCTGGAGTCAGTCTGTCTGTCTCTCTCACACACACGCATGCACCTCTCGCATCAGGAGGTCTCCAGGCAGTCCTGCCGGAAGGCATGATCAGAGAAGCTTGGCCTCAGCCTTTCTAATATCCTTGGAATAAGATAAAAATTGCAAAGCCTGGCACAGTGGCTCCCACCTGTAGTCCCCACACTTTGGAAGGCCAAGGTGGGAGGATTGCTTGAGCACAGGAGTTTGAGAGCAGACTATGTAACATAACCCTTTAAAAATTAGCTGGGTGTGGTGGCACACACCTGTAGTCCCAACTACTCTGGAGGCTGAGGCAGGAGGATCACTTGAGCCTGGGAGGTCAAGGCTTCAGTGAGCTACAGTTGCACTGCTGTACTCCAGCCTGGGCAACAAGCAAAACCCTGACTCTAAAAAACATAAAATAAAAATTGCATCAGGACTCCTAGATGACAATATGTGTGCAGGGTGCATGACTCATCTTTGAGGTCTTCCTGTTGAATTTCCCAAGCAAATGAGTATTGTCCTCTCAGGACACAGTCTGAGTAAGCTGGACCCCAGTCTGAACCAGTTCTCATTCTCCCAGGAGCTTCCTCCAACCTGGAGGGAACTTTGCCTCGTTCTCTTTTCAGCTCCTCCTCAACCAGATTCCCAGACTCAAAACCACTAAGTAGAAATTGAGTGTTTACATTTGCATCTCAAATCATCTGGCAAGGACCAAGAATTTCAAAAGGACAGAATCTAATCATTCTAATCCTTATTTTCTTGTAGTACTCCTCTTAGATTACAAAAATAAAAATAAAAATAAAAAACAGTCTTCCTAGACTTTTAAATTGGCCACTGTGGTGGGCGCGGTGGCTCACGCCTATAATCCCAGCACTTTGGGAGGCCAAGACAGGCAGATCACTTGAAGTCAGGAGTTCGAGACCAGCCTGGCCAACATGGCAAAACCCTGTCTCTACTAAAAATACAAAAATTAGCTGGGTGTGGTGGCATGCACCTGTAATCTGAGCTACTCAGGAGGCTGAGACACGAGAATCGCTTGAACCTGGGAGATGGACAGTGAACCAAGATTGTCCCACTGCACTCCCGCCTGGGTGACAGAGTGAGACCAATAAATAAAATAATTTACTATTTTTTTGGTAACAGGCCAGTAAATAAAATAACTGCCCACTGTTAGCATTTGGAAAAGATCTGTTGAAGTATAAAAAGTATTCTCCCAAGAGGAAGTTTGTTTTGATTCTAAGAAAAGAGGGTACCTCCACCTTCTGAAAAAAATTATCTCCCTTCTCCATCTTCATCCTGACCCCATTTTCTGAGCCCATGTGATCCTTGCTCGCTGGCCTGGAGTAACGCATATCTCTCTTCTGCGCCCACAGTGGAAAATCTGTGCACAGCCCTGCAGAGCATCGACCGTGGCGAGATCGTGAACATGCTGGAGGGTTCTGGCCGACAGAGCCGCAACTTGAAGCCAGACAGGCGGCACACGGACCGCGACTACTCGCTGTCACCCTCCCAGATGAATGGTGAGTGTCACCTGGACCAGGTGGGGGCTGAGCCGGGGCCCTGCCCTTCAGGCATCAGTACCAATAACCCCTTCCCATAATACTTCATCCCTCAAAACCCGCTCTGCCTCCCACTGGTGGGAGGGCTTGTTTGTCAGCAACGAGTTCCTCCTTTCGGGGGGAAGCAGAGGTGAAGGAGAGAGAGATGGCTGCTCCTGTACAGGTGGGCATCGCCTGCCGACTGTGCCTCTGCAGCCCTGCAGAATGGCCTCCAGGCCCTTGCCATCAGCAACTGCATCCCCAGAGGGCCTGGTGTATGAGAAAAAGCTGAGTCAGAGGCAGCCAGCTAGACATTGCCCCTAAACAGCTGCAGACTTTCCAGTAGCTCTTTGCAAGGCGTGGGCCCTCTTTGGGGTGTCAGTGTCCCCATCTGTAAAACAGTCAGTGGTTGGGAAGCAGAGGGCCATTCCTGGCCCAAGGTCTAGCACAGTTTAACTGGACGATGTTTTACAAATCCTGCTGCGGTCACTTCTAGGGACTGAGCAGTTTGCTCTTCCTGGAGCTGGGTCTCTCTGCTTTTTCCTCTCTCCCTTTTCTATCATCTCATCTCCTTCCCCTCATTCTTTGTTGATGTGACTCAGCATGGCAGGGGTCCCCCATGAGATCCAGCCCAAGGAGAGGATGTACAGGAGGCTGTGACCTCTGCCCCCAAGCCCCTGTCACTCCTGGGCCAGGACCCCTCACAACCCCTTCCTCGCCCACCCCCTCTCTGGCCAGCGGGCACATAAACGGCGAGGCCCCACTCTCCGGCCAGGAGGTCTGGGTTCTAGGCCCTTCCTTCCTGCCAGCTCCCTGCATGACTGAGCCCTCTCCCCTTCTGTAAAATCAGCAAGTTGGATTGGATCCCTAAAATTCCTTACAGACCTTGAAACAAAATTTCCATGTCTGTGACATGGCATCCTCAGGTGGCTGACCCGTCACCCTGGATGCCTGCATGGTGATGTGTATGCTCCTCAAGCTCCTCGTCTTAAGGGCCATCCCTGCCACGCCCAGACTGAGGTTGGGCACCTGTGACTGGGAACACAGTTGGGGGATGCGGCCGAGGGCGAGTCCCAGGTGGGCCTGGGCACGGAGCCCCTGCCAAGGGACCCTGTGCTCGCTGAGCCCTCCCTATTCCCTACCCCACATCCTGTGACTCCTGAAGTGTGCCATTTCACACCCTGGAAGCAGGGCCCACCTGCTGATCACGTCGCAACCCCTCTCTTCTGCCTCTAACCTCATGTTGACCTCTGTGCACCCACGCTATCGTGCTGCCTGTCTCCACTGTCCCCACTGTCCCCATTTCGGCAGGCACAGAGCCGGCCATGTCCACATGCATGTCATGGCCCCCAGCCCTGTCTCCCCACGCATCTCATGGCTGTGTCCTAGGCGTACATGCGTGTGCGCCTGTGTGTGTGTGCATATGTGTGTGCGCGTGTGTGCATGCATGTGCGTGTGTGTGCGTGTGTGTGTTCGTTTGTGTGCGTGTGCGTGTGTGTGCACAGGTGTTGCTGTGTGGTGCTGCCTGCTGCGTGTGCCCAGCCCACTCCCTGGGTCCACCCCCTTGGGGATTCCAGCCTCCCCTCAGGGGACCTGGCTGGAGCTTTACAGGAGCTCAGTGGGCCAAGGGCAGTTGAAGGAGGTCACAAACCTGGGGAAATTCTGGTGACAAAGCTCCTCTGCCTTCCCGTGTGTGGAGGCTTCTTTAACATCCAGCGCGTACTTTCGGTCAAGTCAGAGGGGCACGCTTTTGATTTCCTGTGCCCTGATTAAACACCTACAGGACTATGGGCCACCAGAACCGCTTGAGTGTGAATATTCACAGTTACAGACCTGGGCATCTGTGAGCATCTCCCCAGGCCACAGACCCCTGGCCTCCGCCAGGCTTTGAGGCATTCTTGCCCGAGTGGTTCTCAATCCCTGTGTGGGACTGGGCCTGTGTACTCCATGTCTGCTGAAAGCACTCTGCTTCAGGGGGTCAGCCCATGTGGGAAATATTTTTCAAGCATCAACCGCACGCCAGGCACTGTGCTAGGCAGGAGAGAGATACCTGTTCTCAACCAGACAAAACAAAACAAAACAAAAATCTGCCTTCGTGGAACTTTTCCCTCCTGTGAGGAGAACCACGCGGGGGACTGTATCACGCACCAGCAGTTACCGCACATGGTGCAGAAGAAACAGACCAGAGTCGGGGCTTGGGGGATTCATGGTGCAAGGGAAGCGGGTGGTGTTCGAGCATTTGCCAGAGATGAGGTGGTGCCATGCGTCGGCGCTGAGGAGGAAGATTTCAGGGCAGGGAGTGTGAAGACGGCTTTCCTGATGTGTTCACAGGATGGGGCTGGAGGCAGAGGCAAAGGGACAGCGGGAGAGAGGGAGGCGTGGCGGCTGAAGGGGTGGCACAGAGCCCACCCTTAGACTGTCATGAGGACATTGGTTTTGACATGGAGTGAGCTGGAAAGCCACCAGAGGGTTCTGGCCAAAGAGTGGCATGACTGCACTTCAGTCTTTGAGGGAGCCCTCTCCCGAGTAGTTGATTTCAGATGGTCACAGTCGAATGCTCCGTGCTTCCTGGCTACTCTGTGCAGCCTCAGCAGCCCGCGATGTCCTCTCTGGCGGGTCCCCGTTAGACCCAGCTCTGTGCCCCATGTACCCTCCCCCGGCCTCAGCAGACTCATGCACCGATGCCCTGCTTGGTCTAGAATTGGCGTCTTTATATATTTCCTGCCTTCCTCCCTGCCCCAGAAAGTCTGGCCCTCATCTGGATGCCCTTGTGGTCTGGAGAGAAGGTGGCAGGACAGTCAGAGGTCTGAGGGGTTGGGGGGGCACTACAGGCTCTGCAGCTTCTCTGCTGTCCCCTGGGCAGGGCTCGTGATGGCCTAACCTGGTGCCCACCCAGCCCACTGCACCGATGCCCACAGTCGGACCTCGGCTCCTTTGTGCTTTTCCTGGTCCCTCTGCGTGTCTGAGCCTCCTTCTGAGGCCCTGGGACTCCGGGCAGTGATAGGCAGCTCTGTGAGAGCGACATAAGTGGGTGGTGTCCGGGAATTAGAAGCCTGAGGCTGTCTCTCCCTCCATAGCTCTGCTCACCACCAGCGCCTGAATTGGCCAGAGCAGAGGCACTCAGGCCAAAAGGCCAGTGTGCTTCTCCCACACAGGAGAAAACTGCCCAGGCCCTGGGAATAAACATGAAAAAAGCATGGCCTATAGAGCCAAAATAAAATAGCATGTTTCTGAAAATAAAACAGACTTCCCTTGTGAGAGGAGAAATGGTCATCTCACACCCATATGAGCTCCATTTGGCCTGATAAATCAGACACAAACTAATGTCTACTTGGGAATAAAACATGTTTTATTTCCCTCAATTCTTCACAACTGTGGCTAGTGAAGTGTGGCCTTGTCTGGGGCGAGGCTGTCTGATGACCCCTGTTGCCCCATTTGCTGCTGACATTATGCTAGCAGGACGATTATTACCTCTGGGTCAGCACAGAACCAGGGCAGTGACCTGGAATGAGGAGGGACCACTTGACCGTATGCGGCCCCAAACTGATATGTGTGGCTGGCTGCCTTTTACCTGACTTCTCCAACATGTAGCCCCAAGAGGAGGTCTCTAGACTGAGGGAGGGGCTGGTGACCCAGGTGTGGTGGGGCTGCATGAGACACCAGAGAGACAGACATTCTGGAACTCACCCTGGGGGATCCAGTGGATCTGCCTATGGTCTGGTCCACCCCAGACCTGTGAGATGTTCCTCATAGGGATGCACTTGTGCTTCTGCGAGTATTGCTCCAGCTACATAGTGATCCCCACCAGCACCAGGAGTACGGCCAGCTACCTGCGGCATTCAATCTCAGCCTGCATGGCTGGGAGAGGGAGCAGCTGGGCATGCACCCTAAATACTGCTACCAGGGAAGGAGTCCCAGAGTGAAGACAAGCAGGGACTTCCTGCAGAGGTGGTACATGTGCTCTCTGTATCCATACATGTTTTTTTTTTTTTTTTTTGAGATGGAGTTTCACTCTTGTTGCCCAGGCTGGAGTGCAATGGTGCGATCTCGGCTCACTGCAACCTCTGCCTCCCGGGTTCAAGCGATTCTCCTGCCTCAGCCTCTCGAGTAGCTGGGACTACAGGTGCCTGCCACCACAGCCAGATAATTTTTATATTTTTAGTAGAGACACGGGGCCCACCATGTTAGCCAGGGTGGCCTCGAACTCCTGACCTCAGGTGATCCACCCACCTCAGCCTCCCAAAGTGCTGGGATTACAGCCATGAGCTACCGCACCTGGCCCCTTACATCTTTATTTGGGTGAAGTTCCATTAAAGTGAATACCGTGGAAGTCTCAAGGTGGGAAAGTCACAAAAGGAACCCAAGAATGAGCCTCAAGTGTTCTGTGGCTACAAAGCTGCCCTCTCCCAGTTCTCAAGTCTCATCCCAATTTCAAGGAGTGATGGAATGTTCATCCAGCCAAATCCAAGGAGCCATGTCAGATGCAATGTGTGCTACTTCTGGCCAAGACAGGGTAACAGGGACCGGATATACCCTCCTGCTTGAAACTACTGCAGACCAAAAAAATGGACATAATATATGAAACAACAGTTTTTAAGACATTGGATATCAAATAACAAAGGACATTGATCCACAAAGCATGGGAAATAAATGAAGTGAGTCCTACAGCTGTCTAATTTACTGTTCTGAAAGTCCAAGGAGACCAAGACAGCTGGAGTTCTCAAGACAGAGCACCAGAGAGGAGACAGTTGCACAGATAGAACACTCTGGAGACCTGTAGAGGGTCCCCCACAAATTTCAGATGAGTATTAGCCAGCTATTCCCAATTAATCTCTCACAGCCTTTGTTCAGGAGACAAAGAAGGATCTCATCTCAGAAAAAGGGAAAAATTAACCCCCAAAGCTCCAGTCCTTCCTAATAAAATTTGAAAGCAAAATGCAAAAGGATCAAACTGCTTCCAAGTAACTGCATAACAGAACAAA